ACTCATCATTTCCTCAAGATAGAGTTCAGAATGGAAACCATATCAGGTTAAAATGAAAGAAAAGTGATGATAAAGACATTTATGTAAATATGATAGTAGGATTTATATGTATTTAGAAAAGAATAAATCACATTGGTTGAGATTGAACAACAGAGTAGAAATTGGGGGGATCTTATAAAAACCCTCACTTGAATAAAGTGAACTGTGAAAGATTCATTAAAATTACAGCAATTGTAGTAGAATAAAAGCATCTGTCCCCTTCATATACCCATACAAATGTCATGCTATATTAGTCAGGCTCATGGAGAGTTCTTTGATTTTATAGCATCGGGTAAAAGAATAGTTCCCTGGGGATGGTTATGACATTTCAACATTCCTGAATTGTTCAGTGCAAACTTAATCTCTAAAGAGGTGTGGAGCTCCATAGATGCCTGGTGAGGTCACCCACAATGGCTCTGGGAAGATGTGAAGCTTAAATAAGGGGCCCAGGGCAATCCAGCCTGAAGCCAACAGTCATCTGGCTACTGAACCTTGAACTCAGGACTGGAGAAAGAACTTACTTGAGGCCAGAAGAGACACAGACCAGAGTCCGAAGGAGCTGGCTAGACCCGATTCCTTCAAGGAGGGGAGAGTTCCAGGGATTGGGGAGACTTCTGAAGAGCACCAAATCTACAGGGACCTCTTATCCCCTAGACACAGATAGTCTTGAGGTTGCCTGGTGAACATCTTCAGGTGGGCGGCACTTTCTCTGGACCACACTTCTGGTTCCTGCCTTTCTCCTTGTGGCTGGCCTTGGAGCTGACCATGGTGCTGACAGGAGTCTGGTGCTTCACGCGCCCTTGCTAACAAAGTGTGTACTGTGGACCAGCAGCAGCGGCTCACCTGGGAAGAGCTTGTTAGATATGGAGCATCGTAGGTCTCACCTTGCATCTGCTGAACCAGAATCTGCATTCAACCAGATTCCTAGATGATTCACATGTCCATGAAAGTTTGAGAAGCATTACTTACTGCTTTTTATTACTCTATTGCAGAACCACTGGGGATGTGAAATTGAGGGCTGAAGGTAGAAGGGGATTGTGGAAGGTGGGTAAAGATGCATAGATTTGGTTTATGTTAGGTTTGATCACTTGAGTGGCTGAGAAGGGTGCCATAGTTTTTTGTAAGTGTGGGTTATACCTGTTGGAAGCACACTTATGCTAGGAGCTTCCCATCAGGTTGTTGTTTCTGGGACCTATAAAGGCATTATTTGTACTGTACATTTGTATGCTAGAGGGTCCTATGGATCTCTGTTTTAATTTATACCTATATTGCCTAGAAATTTGTCCAGGCTTAAACTTACCATATTTATGAGAAGTTGAGGTGGAAGCCACAGCTTCTATGGAATGGTGTGTCCTTGACAGATGTGTTGCCTAAGTCATAAGCAATGTTGAGTCGGTGAGGTAGTGAAGCAGCTATGCTGATTGACATAAGAAGTGTAGCCAAGGATCTGGCTCCTTTTTGACTGTTGTCAGTGTATATAAAAGAGTGGAGCACTTTCTAGAACACAGATGGTGAACCGAGTTCTGTAGTCAGGGAGCCGAATCATTTCTGAAGACAGCCAGGAAAAGGGTTGGAGCTGCACTTTAGGGACTAAAGCAAACAAGGATTGAGGGAGGCCTAGAGGGTCTTGTAAGTGTGGGGCACAGGAGGGGCAGACTCTTCATGGAATGCCCAGGGTGGGAGGCCTTCCATACTGACCAGAGAGCCACGTCCCTTCCACCAGCTCCAGTGGAGCAAACTCAGCCAGAGAGGGCAGAACTGCTGTACACTGCTATGCACCGTCTCCAGGCAATTCACTGCTTCCTAGAGGGATTCTTTGAGCACAAGTGGCTAAGAAATCTCTCCTGTAACCCAAGGGGTCTCAGTAGTTAAGAGCTAGTATGGTGCAGGAAGGGCAAAATTGCTTGTGTTACAAAATTTTGTTTCCTTCTTGACCTCTTTGTCTTGATAGCACCAGGCAACGAGCCTTGGAAGTGAAATCCAAGAGGCCCCCCCGGGGTGTGACCACTTCTCTATGTCTTTGCCCAGTTCCTGCCTGTTCTCCTTTGATCCCAGGACAGCACATTCACTACCACCCAGCAGTCTGTGTTTTTACCTTGCTCCTGCTGGGTGACAGCATTTCCTCTAATGTCACTTGTTTCTTCAGACCTGTGTGGTTCTCAAACTCTGCTGAACTGGGGAGTTGCCATGTCCCTCAGCCCTACCAAGAGATCCTGGTTCAGCAGGTCTAGGGTGGACCAAGGAACTTGATCTCCAGCCTGTGCTCCTGGAAATGCTGGTGCAGGTGGGCACAAGGCACACACTGGAAAACGCTATTGGGAACATATGGTGGAAGCTCACCATGGACAGAGGAGGCAGGCACTTTTCTCTCATTGCAGGCCTGGCAGCAGCAAGAAAGGCCCCTTCCCACCGCCATCCTCTGCAAAGCGAAACCCCAAACCCATGGATGCAGAACAGGAAAGGACTAAATATATTGGAGGGAGGAAGAATTCTAATTGGGTTGGTACATCCACTGTGGCCGATCCATTCAGGATTCCCCCCATAAAATCCTAACAGGTGATAGGGTCCTGTTTTACTGAGCTGGGCTCTGGGGTGAGGAGTTTGCTGGAGGTCCCATAGGTAGCCAAGTGTCAGAGCCCGTGTTCAAATTCAGAGCCGGTTTCACTGAATATTTTTTAAAATTATTTTTAATTGTGATAAAATACATATAACATACAATTTGCTGTCTTAACCATTTATAAGTGCAGCGTCAGCGGCATCAATACATTTGCACTGCTCTGTAACCATCATCGTCGTCCATCTAGTTTGTTTAGTTTTGACGTTTTCTCATGGCACAAAAAATAGGGAAGCTGAACTGAGAATCTGAGTCTACATATTTAGCTGGAAGCATGCAGAATGGCTCTTCTCATCTTAGTGGAGGAGAACAGTCTACAAGGATGAGCGAGGACCGTGCCGTTAATTCACCTTTGAAGCCTGCTTTGAGGAGGTAGGTGGCTGAAAATGTCTCTGTGTGACTGAGGTTGCTCACGGAAGCCACCTTCTGGCATTGAAAGATAGTGCAACAATCCAGCATCTGAAAAAAACCTTTTTAAGAAAAACCCAAAACCATTTATATCTACCTTGCTAGATAAATTGGACATTTTGTTGCACCTATAAATCTGTAGATTATGTACCTGCACCTTTGCTCTATACTTCTCCATCTCCCTCTCCCTTGCTCCCATTTCAGGAAGATGCTTACTTGTTACAGCAAGGATCTATTCACACATGATTTTTAGGACTTGCTAAAGATATTTGAATACAACTTGTTCAGGCCAGATTATACATTATCTGTTGTGGATAAAACAAGTTTGCAATTAAATTGAGATAGAACAAAAAAAACTCATTTAATAAGTTTTTCAAAAAAAACAGACAATGAATGAGAGAAGTCCACGAGTAATTAATTGGCTCAATCTTTCGCTCTCTCTTTTTTTTTTCTTAAGACAGAATCTTACTCTGTCACCTGCGTTGGAGTGCAGTGGCACGATCTTAGCTCACTACAACCTCCACCTCCCAGGTTCAAGCAATTCTCATGTCTAAGCCTCCCAAGTAGCTGAATTACAGGTACGTGCCACCATGCCTGGCTAATTTTTGTATTTTTGGTAGAGATGGGGTTTTGCCATGTTGCAAGGGGTCTTGAACCCCTGACCTCAAGCAACCCACTTGCCTCAGCTTCCCAAAGTGCTGGGATTACAGGCATGAGCCACTGCGCCTGGCTGTCTCAGTATTTCTAACAGTTAAAAAACCAATTTTGCTGCTCCGCTCCTCAGATGAACCTGCTCCCCTGTGCAGTGCTATAGATGTGCTTGCGGACCATGATGAGTATGGCAGTGTTTTGTCCTAGGACCCATATTTAGAGTAATTCTGGGATTTCTTTGATTCTGTCTCTCCATTTCTGGCTGGATCTCTTCTCAGATGGGTCCTCATTCAAATGTGGAATCTATCATTTCCAGTTTTCCACAGCCCCCACCCTTCCCTGCTGCCTTACACTTAGCCACTCCCTTCATCTGAACCTTGGAATATTTGAGTTTGAGACCTCTGTCTGAAGTCCTTTGTCTCTTTTGTCGAGGGGTTTTCTTCCTGAATTGAACATGCTTTGTGCAGAAGTTATCACTACAATCCTGTCCTTCCTTTCAGACCTTGTTTAACTCTCTCTGCCTTTGCAAAAAAACCCTTCACACTCCTCTTTCATCTCTGTTTTGCATTTATATGTCTTGTGTAATCAGTTCCTAAAATATACTATCCTATTTCTATTTCTCTATGACATGTGCTTCATATGTAAATAATATAATAGAAATAATGGCCAACACAAAGGAATATTAGTATAATATAACTATTATGTTCGTGGCACATGATTTAAGTAAAATGACTGAAAGTTGCCCACTGGCAATTACTACTTATTTTTTTCTAGGAGAGTTCTTACAAAGTATAGTTGAAAGGGGACAGGAAGTAGCTGTAAATTAATAAAGCTAGATTTGCTCACCTCCGTGATGCCCTCTTGCCTGTCCCAATGCTGCATTTAAGTTGGTGTGAGGAAAATTCACAAAATCCGAGAAAAAGCAATGTTGGTTAAATTTCCTCTATTTAAGAACTGTTTCCTAATCTTAACTAAGAGCTTTTAATTTGTCAATTAATCTTGTCATCACTTTCTATAATAAGAATTTCCCATTTTATTTGTGGTTTTAAAAATGTGCCGCTAATTGCAGAAATGAAATCTCAGTATGATTTCACACTATGGTATTATTGTCAAGCTAAGAGTGGGAATTTGGTATCATTTCTTAATTAGCATTTAAAATATCATGTTGGCTAATTATCCATTCCGCACTTATATTCCATTGCTAAATTGCCACTGTGCGCAGAGGCTTTAGGCGTCTTCTTGCAACCTCAGTGGCTTAAGATTTTTGTTCCTCTGCTTAAAAGTACTTCACAGAAGAAGGCGGGGCTAAGAAGATTCCAGTTATAAAAGCTTTCCTCCTCCTGTGTGAAGAGATCAGCAGAATCCTTGGGTGAGAGAAAATCCTGCTAGATAAGAACTATCACTTACGGTATGTCATCAACTTTTGCTTTTTGCTTCTCCTTAAATGTTGCCATTGCTGTACCTTGTAGAATAATATGCATTTGTGTCTCTGGGAGGGGCAACATTTAGTTTGCTATGAAGATTTGAAGCCAAAGGAAGACAAAAATTTAAATTTCTCAAAGAGATGTGGGCATAAGCAAAGTGCTATTTCACAAATATATCTAATCCTCGCTCAGATTTATTTAGAAATGAAATCTTTGCTAGACTTTTGAATGACTTTAAATATAATTAAAGTTTTCTTTTTCCGATACAGTTAGAAACTCCCTAAATGAGCTTTAGTAAAAAATTCACTGGCATCTGACCTGTACAACCAAGCATCTGAAGCAGTCCTATTGTGAACATAGTAAAACAAGTTTTTCTTGAATCAAGTCTATGGTGAAGGGTAAACTAACATCAAGAAAGAATGCATTCATGTAGTAAATATTCTTTGACAGTGAAAGGAGAGGGTATGTCTGGCTTGTTTTTGCATACTGTGTTTCCTTTGGTTCTTCCAGCCTGTTGAAACACGCTTATCATTTGTATTATCTAGAGGCAGGAGAGAAACACCGAAGGGCCGGATGAATAATTAAAGGTTTTATTTCCATTTAATTTTGAATCCATTATTGCCAATGCTGACTTATTCAGGGTTAGGATTCTTGAGTTGAAAGTGAGGAAATGGTCCTTAAATTTATTCTATGTGTGCTAATACAAGGATAATTTTCATGATAGAAGTTTTAGCTTGTCAAAATCTTGATAGTACAAAGGACTTACTTCCAAAGTTGTGACTTTGGATGTATATTTTTTTATAATTTGGAACAAAGCTGTTTATTATTGTCTATAATTATATTACAAATAATATAATTATTATAGAAATAATATATTATAAATTATTATAATTTATAATAATAATAACTATTATTATCTTTATCTTGCCTAAAAAATGATATCATTCTTGACACCTGTGAAGACAGTAGAGGTCCAGGATCCATAGGGACCCCGGTCTTTCCTCTTATTCTAAGAGGCTCTCAGCAAATAGCATCTGGGAGCATCACCTGCTGCCTGTATCTACCTCCTGTTTCTTACTTCTACCTTTTAGACAGGATAACTTGGGGTCAATGACTTTGGGAGCCTCCACTGGCTTTTGCCATTTTCCTATTTTTCATCCATCTATTCAAACTTAAAAAAATTGGCTGATAGAGGCAATTAGAAAAACGGGATAATGCCTATAACAAAATAAATCTCAGCTCTCTCCTGGTGGTGACTGAGACATGGAGACACAGGTGCCTAGTGACCCTTGCAGGTTATTATAACCCTTGTGTGCATCACTGCCATGCCCCTGCCAAAATGAGAGTGGAGAAGATCTCTCTGGATTGTGCCATTTACATTTGAAGCCTCCGCAAGTGTCATACTCACTATTTCCATGAATAATTGATGGCTCAAAGAGTGGAGATGGCTGGGGTTTGGTGTGGGGCCCTTTGGAACGTTTTTCTTTAGAGCATGAACAAGTTTTTCCTCTCTAATTCAATGTGCAAAGGAGAACGTCTTGTGCCCCCCTCAATTTTTTTTTTTATCATAAAGAGATTGAGAATTAGACAATCCTGCTTGAAAATGACATTGTAGGACTGATTTGACCATGGGGATAGGCAGGCTAAAAAGTAACTTACAAAAGATTTCAGATGCCTTCTTTCAAAATTAGGACAATAACATAGCAGACTAATTTTTTTTGCATTGGGTTCAAAAAAATGCATGAATATTCTGTTGTTCATGGGTGACTTCTAGACTATGTATAATTATTCATGACCACTGATAACTAGTGTTGTTAAAATGACAATCTATTTCTTCCCAAAGCTGAATTAATGTGACACAAATTAGCTTCATGCTTAAGATTGGGCTCTCAGGCAAGCCTGCTTGATTTTGAATTTTGCATCCTCTACTTATCAACTGTGTGACTTTGGGAAAGTTACTTAACCTCTCTGTGTCTTGGTTTGCTCACCTATCTAAAGAAGAAAGTAATAATCCATATAACTGATGGGAAGATGGATCCATGTGAATACTTTTCACATGAATACTCTTTACATGGATCCATCTTCCCATGAATTATGGGTTTATTGTTCTATTATGAATACGTGCCTGGTGCGTCATAGACACGACACAAACATAGCAGTTATTTATTACTGACATTTGGATGCTGTTCCTGGTCTGATGGAGGTGTATGTTTCATGTGCAAGCAGGACAAACTGTAATGTTCGTACATTCAGGTTGTGACTACGGAAGAACACAAAGCCAAATTGACATGATACTGCCTCTTGAAGATCCCATCAATTACATGCATGTGTTTGAAAAGATCTGATTACGTGCTCTGGAAACATTTTACTGCAGTTTAAGAATGACAGGATCCTTGGTGTGATGTGTAGCCCAGTGTCCTCTAAATGCGGTCTTGAGGCCACCTCATCGGCACCTGGGAACTGCTAGAGATGTAGAATCTGGGGCTCACCCCAGCCATATCATGCTCTTGAGGTGGGGCCCAGCACTCTGGGTTTTAATGAGTCCAGTGAGTCAGCTTGCCGGGTGGCTGGTAGTTTCCTGTGTGGGAAACTGTAGAAACTGCTGATCCTTAGGTTGGAACTGCTTTCTCTCCTGATAGGTATGTAGGTTTATTGTGAAGTTTTGAAAAATGTGAACGGTGTTTCAAGAATCCCCTTTGAGTTTAACTTTTACTGAGGTTATCTCTAGGATGGGCATTAAGATTCCATTAAGTTCATCATGCCCATTTGAAATTTTTGAGAGTAAAAACCATACATGGAATTGAGATTGTTGATTAAAAACATGAAAGCAAAGTTTTACATAGTTTAAAAAGTAAATCCTAGAACTTGACAAACCCTTGGATATCTCTCTATGGAGGATCCATCATTTGGACCTACCATGGAGGTAATTCCACTGGATTTTACTTTTTTTTTTTTTTTTTTTGATAGAGTCTTGCTCTGTAGCCCAGGCTGGAGTGCAATGGTATGATCTTGGCTTACTGCAACCTCCACCTCCCAGGTCCTGGTTCAAGCAATTCTCCTGCCTCAGCTTCTTGAGTAGCTGGGATTACAGGCATGCACCACCATGCCTGGCTAGTTTTTGTATTTTTAGTAGAGACAGGGTTTCATCATATTGGCCAGGCTGGTCTTGAACTTCTGACCTCATGATCTGCTCACCTCAGCCTCCCAAAGTGCTGAGATTACAGGTGTGAGTCACTATGCTCAGCCTGAATTTTACTTTAATGGCATAGCTTCCACTTGCATTCAGGACATTTTAAGAAATATGTTTAGTGCTGTAAGTATTGCATGGCTGTGCAGGGGTGTTTTCCTATGTGGCCCTGTGTGCTTTTGGCATAGGCATTTTTCTTTTAATTTATTATTTTGAGATAATTGTAGCTTCACAGAAAGTCGGAGAGGAAAAAATAGTGTGGAGAGGATCTGTGTATTCTTCACCCAGTTCCCCTCAATGGTGACATCACACATAACTATGATACGAGCTTAATACCAGGGAATTGGCATTGGCACAATGCAAAAGCTTTATTCAGATTTCACCTTTTTTTTCTTTTGAGACAGAGTCTTGCTCTTGTTGGCCAGTCTGGAGTGTAATGGGGCGATCTTGGCTCACTGCAACCTCCACCTCCTGTGCTCAAGCAATTCTCCTGTCTCAGCCTCCCAAGTAGCTGGGATTACAGGCTGTTGCCATCACGTCTGGCTAATTTTTTTTGGTTTTTTTTTTTTTTTTTTTAGTAGAGAAGGGGTTTCACCATGTTGGCCAGGCTTGTCTTGAACTCTGGACCTCAGGTAATCTGCCTGCCTTGGCCTCCCAAAGTGTTGAGATTACAGGCATGAGCCATAGCACCTGGTCCCAGATTTCACCATGTTGACATGCATTCATTCGTATGTGTACAGTTTAATGCAATTTTACCACATGAGTAGATTTGTATAACTATCACCAAAACCAAAGTTTGCAACTGTTACATCACCAGAAAATCCCCTTCATTCTGCCCCTTTACAATCACCCCATCCTCCCCATTCTACCTGCCCCCAAATGCAGGAGTCCTTTTGACCCCGGCCTCCGTATCAGAGAATGTGTTTTGAAGTTACTTTATGAATGCCGTGAAGCTTGTAGCTGACTACATTCATTCTGTCAACCTAAAATAATCAAATCTCAGGACTCAACTGAAAGAGCGTATTCACCTGCAAAGATGAGGGCAGCCGTCCAGACAGCAGAACGACAGCAAAGGATTGTGATCACTGCTCCTAGGATGGGGAAAAGGGAGGATCATTTATACAGGCAAAACCAGTGGTGCTGAATAGAAACACTTTATTTATTTATTTTTTGAGATGCAGTCTCATTCTGTCACCCAGGCTGGAGCACAGTGGCATGATCTTGGCTCACTTCAACCTCCACCTCCCAGGTTCAAGAGATTCTTTTGCCTCAGCCTCCTGAGTAGCTGTGATTACAGGTGCCTGCCACCACACCTGGCTATTTTTTTTTTTTTTGTATTTTTAGTAGAGATGGAGTTTCGCCATGTTGGCTAGGCTGGTCTCAAACTCCTGACCTCAAGTGATCCGCCTGCCTTGGCCTCCCAAAGTGGTGGGATTACAGGTGTGAGCCACCATGCCCGACCAGAAACACATTTTCTGTACAAAGGCTGCTGCACAGATGTAAGATGTGACTGACTACTATTGATTATACTCTAAGGGGGCTGCTTAACACCCTATGGTAAAGAGGTTACTGTCAGAGGGTCTCTGTGTCCAACATCAGTAAGTCTAGGCTAGAATGAAGGATACTGACTACTATTGTTTATACTCTAAGGGGGCTGCTTAACACCCTATGGTAAAGAGGTTACTGTCAGAGGGTCTCTGTGTCCAACATCAGTAAGTCTAGGCTAGAATGAAGGATAGGAGTCCAGTTAAAGTATAAAATCTCCATCTGGTTTTTCACAACCTTTGAGAATGCCAGTCAGCAAGGGTTGTGCAAAAACAGCCGTGTTATGTGAGTCTGTTTTCAGAGCTTCACTTTCCCCCTTGGCATAATAAACCCGAAAGATCCTAACATTTTACGTTCTTTTTACAAACCTTTTGCTTTGGCCATTAGTAAGTTTAGACCAGGATTTCTAGTGCCCCTTGAGGACCTTGGAACAAGCTTCCCCTGAGGCTGGATAAGCCCCTGACCTAACCAGTCTCTTTCTCTTATTTTATCCTCAGCTCACTTCTTTCTCTTTGGTTTCTTTGTTTTATGTAATATTTAAGTAAATTTCTTCAATTCTTTGTGCATGAGATAAAATATAAAAATTTAAACTGAAAAAAGCCTCTACCATGTCGTCTCTACTTAATATTTAGCTCTGACATTTTCCCTCCAGCCTCCCTGTCTCCCTTTCCTGAACTACCTAAAGTTATGTGAGTGTTTTCCTTCCTTATTTCCCATTCCTGAGCATGTCTTTCTACTGCACTCACAGCTGAATTGGCTCAGGATACAGTTTCTAGATCCATTTTCCCTCTTAAAAAATATAAATACAGTTCCATTTTCTTATAGTTTATAGTGTTGAAGATGTTTTATACCAGCCTGGTTTTTCTCCTTTACTAATTGTTTTCTGCTATATTGCTTGTATGGTTTTATGTTTATTCTTTTTTTTTTTTTTGAGTTGGAGTCTCACTTTCTTGCCCAGGCTGGAGTGCAGTGGTGCAATCTTGGCTAATTGCAACCTCTGCCTCCTGGGTTCAAGCAATTCTCCCACCTCAGCCTCCCAAGTAGCTGGGATTACAGGCATGTGCCACCACACCTGGCTAATTTTTGTATTTTTAGTAGAGACAGGGTTTCATCTGTTGGACAGGCTGGTCTCAAACTCCTGACCTCAGGTGATCTACCCACCTCGGCCTCCCAAAGTGTTGGGATTACAGGCATGAACCACTGCTCCTGGCCTGTTTATTCTTATACTTAAATAATTTCATCTGGATACCTCTGGCCCTGTTAATTTTGCCTGGCAGCAGACCCAGTGAGATTTTTATTGTGAAGACTCAAACCTTTCTTTATCTCAGGGAAGATTTCTTCCGTTGATGTTTTGATGACTACGTCTCCTATGAGTGGGACATTCTCTTCTGAAAGGCCTGTTCCTGACGTGATGAATCTCCAGTGTTCTGCAAGGCTCCTCCAGCAATGGCTTCAGCCAGGTGTGGTGCAGCTGTACCAACGTTTTCCCTCCTTGGTGGGGTGGGTTAAAGTGGAGGGACACAGCCCCATGTGTCTCCTGCTGCCATGCTCTGCCTGCCCAATGCTGCTGGCACCAGGTCACCACACAGGGCTCCATGGGCCGGCATCCACCGAACATCGTGAGCACATTCTCTGCTTTGACAGTGGGTCACATGTTGCTGCCGGTCTTTGCCACACTTGATCATGGTGCCACTTTCATTAGAAATGAGGACTGCTGTCCATTAAGCACTTCCCATCTCAGCTTCCACCATGCCTGGGAAGGCACCTCACTCTCTCTTCTGCCTGGAGAGGCTGCAACCAGAAAATAATAAACAACACCAACAACAAACTGTCCAGAGCTGGGAAAAAACCAAAAACAGCCAAACTTGAGTTCTCGTGTAAAGAGAGCTTGTGACTGATGTAAAAATGTTAGACCATTGTCTGATCAGAACCAGGAAAATACCAGCACTCAAGAATTAGGGGAGAATGCCGAGCAGAAAGAAGAGCAGGGAGGCTGCTGTCAGGATTTTCTTCACCAGATCAAAACTCCGATGAAAACAGAACTCTTCTTACGGTGTTGGGGCGAAAAGTGTTGAATGCAGTAAAAAGACATCCCCACGGAAGAAACGCTTCTCACGGGTTCCTCCTTGGCTTTCCTGAGTTCAGATCATCCCCAGGGACCTTTTCCTCACACTGACAGACAAGTTCAGGGTGGGCGAGTCCGGAGCAGAAGGATTCATGCTAGGCATGGACATCCCAGCCCTTTGCCTACTTTTCTTTTTTTTCCAGGGAATTTTGCATCGCTGCAACTGGCGGTGTGATTTTATTACTTCTCCCTGGCACGTGATGAATCAAGGGATTGGCTTTCTCCCCTGCCTTTCCAGTTCACTCAGGAGCAGCTCCTTTCCTGCAGACCCCTCCTCTCACTCTCCAGGGCCCCAGGTGCTCTCTTCCCACATCACTTCCCTTGGGCCTCAGGACTTATGTTCCTTCTTCCAGTGCTTCTTTTACTTATTTTTTATTTTGAGACAGTCTTGCTCTGTCACCAGGCTGGAGTGTGTGATGTGATCTCGGCTCACTGCAATCTCTGCCTCCTGGGTTCAAGCGATTCTCCTACCTCAGCCTCCAGACTAGCTGGGACTACAGGTGCGTGCCACCAGGCCCAGCTAATTTTTGTATTTTTAGTAGAGACGGGGTTTCACCATGTTGGCCAGGGTGGTCTTGATGTCTTGACCTCATAATCCGCCTGCCTTGGCCTCCCAAAGTGCTGGGTTTACAGGCATGAGCCACCGCGCCCAGTTCCAGTACTTTCCAATACTTCTTTTACTTCCGAGCCTGAAGTCCTGCAAGAATGTGTCTAGAAGATCTACGAACCTGCACTTCTGAGGTAGCTGTTATCTAAGGCTCTATGCCAAGACCCACAGTCAACCAACCTGAATATCAGCTAGTCTCAGAGAACCAGGAAGAGACTACCAGTCGCTAATGAGGCCTTCAGAATGTCAGAGGAATGCTATTTACTGCACCTCTTAAATGGCTCCCAATGTTTTGTTTGATGGAAATGCGATTTGAAGGCAAATATACCCCTTTTCTGTTGCAGTGAAATAAACAGTTTCCATTTCAAGGCAAATGAAGTCACTTCCTAAGCATTGGTGCCCTACTTAGAAGCAATTTGCTGTATGGGAATCATAGTGAATACCTTGCAGGATTGATTTGTGGTTTTGCAATAATGTATGTAAAGTACCAATTAATACTCTCAGCTTCTCTTGGAAATGCCTGGGGAGAGAAGTAAAAGAAGCACTTGTTGTTTTAAACAGTCTAGACTAACCATTCCGAGTGCGTTTTAAACCAGTGCCAGTCTCTGTGGTGTGGGAGGCCTGTGGCTGGTCTGGGATGGGCGATCTGGAGGGAGGAGTCATGACCACTGGGCTGAGGGGCTGAGAGCAGAGTGTGGCTGAGTGGTGGGTCTGCTCTGTGTCTTAGACATTTCTGCGTTCGGGAGTTATAGAAGGTAACGTGGAAGTAGTTTGCAAACCGAAGGAGGATTTGCGAGGGAGTATTGATTCAATCAAATTATTCATCTGATAAATATTTATGCAGGTCTCCTTTATGCATTGTGCCAGGTCTGGAAGTCTAGTGGTGAACAAGATACAGTCCTTGGCCTCAGCAAGTTAACAGGGGTCAACAGATTATTAAACAAATCATGATGCCCACAGCTTGGTGCAGGTTGAAGGGGCTACAGAGGCAGGTGAGCTCTTGCCCAGCCTGGGCATTGTGGGGCACCTCCCTGAAGAAGTGATGAGTGAGCTGAGCCTGGAGGATGAGCAGGACGACAGCTGGAGGGGTATGGGGAAGAGGGCTCCGGACAGAGGGAGGGACCCCAGATGGGAAAGGCGGCCCAGAGAGAGAGGGAAGTGGGTACAGTCAGGCTGGGGAGGTGGAGGCCAGCAGGGCCCCTGGCAAGTGCAGGCAATTTGAGAGCCTTTCGAGGGGTGAGGAGGAAGGACTGCCACTGGGATGTGATGGGACACACAGGGAGGAGCTTGGCGCCAGGAGGAGGGGATTCAGGGAGGCACAGGTGTCCAGGAAGTATGGTGCTTTCTTTGCTGTGTCTTAAGGACAAACTTGGAGGTTGAGTAGGCATTGACGGGTTTTGTCTGGAGCTTGGGATGTGGGTCTGAGTTAGAGTTTGGGAGACAAGGGGAGAGGGGCCTCCTGAAGTATGGGATGGGGGCATCTTAGAGTGAGAAAAACAGAGTGGGGTCTCCAGGAGGCATCTGCATGACATATAAGGTTCTGCCATGCTCAGGCCAGCAGCCTGCTCCAGAGCCCAAGAGAGAAGTTTTGGGCGTTAGTCTCAGGATGACCTGGGACATGCTGACCCTCAAGCCCTGCCCACCACCCTTCAGGGCCAGGAGTCTTCTTTTCTGCCCGAGGGCCAAGTCCTCTGGCCAATACAGGCTGCTATCCATAGTCTGCTATGTAAATTTCCTTCATCCCCAATTCATTACTTAGCAAGGAGCTCTCAAAAGCCCCTCAGGTGTAGTGTGTTGTGATGCATGTGGTAGACTGTCCTCTCAGAGCTCTCGTTTGCGTGGGGCCATGCCCTCAGCCACTGCACAGAGGGAGTACCCAGAAGGGGATCCTGACTCAGAAGTGAGGGGCCAGAGAGGGTGTGCTGAGTGAGGGGTGGAAATGCCACCTGGGTCTTGTAGGGTGAAGAGGAATTAGGGGCAGGGACACGATGACCCTATTGGGCCGAATGGAGCATGGGACATTGCACGTGGCACATTGCACATGGCAAAGGGGAGAGGGTGCCGAGAAAGGGGCGTTGGGGTGAAGCTTTGAAGGAAGCCCTTTTACTGTTTGTAACCCAAACGTATCCCCCTCCACCCATCGTCGCAGAAGAGATGTCCTTTGGGGGAACCAGGCTCAGCATGAGGAGCAGAAGGAACGGCACTCTGGACAGCACCCGGACCCTGTACTCCAGCGCGTCTCGGAGCATAGACTTGTCTTACAGTGAAAGTGTAAGTCATGCGCAGCACCTGTTTGAAAGGTTATCATTGTAACATTCATAAGGCATTAAATCATGCATTTGCAAATGGACTTTCAGGAAATTTTAGATGCCATGTCTTTAAAATTTCACTACTTAATGCTCAGTGCTCTCGCTTCCGGCCTGAGTTTTGAATCCCAGTCCCTTTTCCAGCTCTATGGCCTGGGTCTCAGTTTGGGTCCATCTGCACTTGTTCTTGCAATGGCCTCCTCACTTCACTCCTTGGCACTGTCTCTCCTGGTTCCAAGCCAGCTTCCATGCTGCCTTCAGGACACAGACGTGCCCAGTCATGGCTTCTTGGGTGAGCTGGACTCGAGGTTGGGTGCCAGCGGGAGGCATGTCCTTAGCACCTCTTTGCCTCTCCCTGCCTGGCTTTGCTGGCACTAGGCGGAATTTCCTCCTGCAGGTTTTCTGCCTACTCTCAGATCCTGTCCAACACTCTCATTTGTCAAGAAATTAAGACAGCTTTCCAGTCTGAAATCCAGTTTTCCTGGGCTATGGTGTTAAAACTTGGGATAGCGGCTAGCTTTGGAAAGAAAGGAAAGAAGTAGGAACTGGTGGTTGGGGAGGGCGGTTTTGGGGTGTTGCTTAGGATTTTGATCTCACTGGTGGGTTCTGTGGGGGCTGACTTTGTGATCTTTCATTGAGCTGTAAGAAAACACACACACAAATAAACACGCAAAAACCTACTCTTCCCCAGCTGGTTCTGTCTCCCCGGGCCAGGACTAGGCAAGTGAGGCACCCTGATGCAAAAGTGAAGGAGGTGCCAGCCCTCAGGGGCTGCCCCTACACTTGCGTGCCCGGGTGGTGGGGGGACTAAGCACCTCCTTGCAGTTGCTCCCCAGTCTCACCTCAGTTGTGGTCATGGGAGAAGCAAACAGTGGGCCAAGGGTGGTAGTAGCTTTTCTGGCGTTTTCCCTCTTGCTCTCCTCCTTCAACCCCAGTGATGAAGCATCTCTGGGAGGGCCCTTCTGGAGGGATCCCCTGGCCTCAGCACCGGAGCCCTGGGAGATGGACAGAGGCTAATTCTTTCTTGTGCCTGCTCCTGTGACTTCCTGCTGGATGGGTGTTCTCTCCTCAGCCCCTGTGTGTCAGTCTCTCCCAGATGCAGGCATCTCTGTGGGTAGAACTGCTGAGACCATCCAAGAGTGTCTCAGTTCTGAGGGGTTCCTTTTTGCCCCCTGAGCACATGCACACCTTTGCAAAGTACACTTTCAGAGGATTTGTTTTAAAGCCACAAAGCAATTTCTAAGAAATCATCACCCTTCCTCCATGATCATTGGTTACACAGCTTACATAGCTGTTTCCTTCACTCCTGTTAAGTAGATTTGAAATTAGTTAACTGGATAAAAAAATTACAGGAAAAATGGGCATCACAGATTTTCAAAACTGTTGTGTGGAGGTGAGCATTGAAACTGTTTTTGCTTCCAACATGTTCGTGTTGAAATATACATAGAAAAGAATGTATAAATGTGAATTTCCAGCTTAAAAAGAATATTGAAGTGAATGTTTTGTGCCCACCACCCGCTTGAGAAATAGCATATCACCCCCATATGCCTGGTGAGTTGGCTTTCCTCTCTCCTATCAGAGGCTATAACCACTTTCCTGAGTTTTGTGTTACCCATTCCTTGATTTTATTTGTAATTTTATGACTTGAGTCTATGTATCTCTCTAAACAATACACTGTTTAGTTTTGTTCTGTTTTTGAGGTACATGGAATTGTACAATAAGTATTTTTTTGTGAGTTCCTTTTTTTTCTTTTTCTTTTCTTTTTTTGTGTTCAAAACTCTTTTTGAGATTCATCCACGGTGAGACATGTAACCATTGTTGATTTATTTCACGGCTGTGCTGCACCCCACTGTGTGCTTATGTTTATTTATTCAGCCTAAGACAGATGGCATTTGGGCTTCTGGTCTTTATTACTACAAGCAATACCACTTTTAACATTCCTAGATATGTAAGCCATGTCCACCTGGAAAATGTTCATTGAGTTGAGGCTTGCTGTGGGTGAAGGTAAGCATCTCTCTTTCATGGGGTCTGGGTTAAGACACAGGACTTATGGGGAAACTTATGTTCAAAGGTTTGGGAAGATAAGGCACATGGTCACCGTTCTCTGATATCTCAGGACTTGCAGAGGCAGAGGATGAGAAAGGAAGAGGGTACATCGTGAACTTCATGCCAGGAGAGGAGACTTCCCCCTTTGCAGTGTATGGCTGGTGACAGCCTTGCTGGTGGGGAAAGGAAGTCAGGGGTGGCTCTGGTGCCAGTGGCCTGTCTTATGAGGCCAACTGTGTGTGAGGTTGTCTGAGAACTCCAGCTGCCCGTACCTGGTGGCCTGTGGGAAGTGGCATTGGGCTGCCGGGGAAAGGAAGCTCCTAACAGCCCCGCCTCCCCAGGGCAAGGCAGCTGTCTGAGGCTGAAAATTTGTAGCCAGGCAGCTTTGCCAGGCACTCTGAGTGTGCAGGCCATTCATGGGACAATCCTGCCTTTCTCCACAAGGGACTCTTCCTCAGGGAGATAACTTTACTGGCAATCGTGGACAATATTCAGGAATGGTTGCATCAGTTCACTTACCCACCCATGGTGGGCATGAGGCCCACTGCCCTTCCCTTCACTCATGCTGGGTGTTCATTGCCTTTGATATTTTTGCTAACCTGGTGTGTGTAAAACGGGATCTCACTGTGGTTTTCCTTTGCATTTGCTCATTCTGAATGAGGTTGAGCTTCCTTTCATATGTTTATGAGTTATTCTCTTTCAATGAAATGGGTTATTTCTCTTGTCTTTGGCCATTTTTCTCCATAGGGTTCTCTGCCTTATTCTTATTGATGCAGAGCGCTTAAATATTCTACCAATCCGGTCATGTTCCATACATGATGCAAATACCTGCTCCCACTTTGAGGAGTGTAGGTATTTTTAAAGGAGTTTTTCATTTTTTTTCCAAATAGTTTGCTTCTGCTAACTTAAGGGAAGCTTTTGGTTTATAAAGGGTTTGGCTGTTTGTCAGAATTAGGTCCCAGATGTGCCTAACCACCTTGCCCATGGAGGGATAAATATAATTATGAAGGGTTTTTGGAATACGTCTTCTTTTAAACAGCAAGTATAAGAGGAATGGGAATCTGCACTGATATATTATTTATGAAAAACTATCATCCAATGCCTATGTTCTTCCTTGTAGCCTTAGAGGTGGAAAAACATAATTTGTATGTATATAATGCTGTTTATATACAAGATAAGCCCAAATCATTTTTAGAAAAATTTTCCATTTAGTTATAAAAATTTTAATGTATGCATCTTAAAAAGAAACTGTGTGCTCTGAAGGCATGAACAAAGGCTGGATGCTATGAATATGTGGTAAGTTCTTAAAGCATATGAAGTGGGGTTACATCATATTTAGCATTCATTAATATCAGCAAGGAGTGAGAATAAATTAGTAATGTGTTATTCAATGCTCTCTCTCCAAAGGACTTGGTGAATTTTATTCAAGCAAATTTTAAGAAAAGAGAATGTGTCTTCTTTACCAAAGATTCCAAGGCCACGTAAGCTACTACTTTCCCTCCACTTTTGCTTTCCACATTCAAAAGAAAATCAACCACCATTACGACAAACAAAGAAATGCTCACTGGTTTGTTATTAAAGATGCCTTCGTCTTGTGATTCTCAGAAATGTTGTGTGAGCAGGAAAGATCTGGCAGGGAGCTTCTAGGTGTTGCTTACAGCTCTACGATTTCATTTGATATTTTCAGCTGTGGCAATAATTGAAAAAGTCACTGAGAGAGGCTGTCACTCTCTTCAGTATTCCCATGAGAATGGAAATCTGCCTGAGTGACCTTGGTAATGAAAGTTGTTAACAGGGAAGTTGTCTGGCAATACCATGCATGTCTTACTGGCTCCTCTGTCAGGCTTTTCTTCCCTGCTGCTGACTTTGGGTCTTTCCTTCTAACTGGGTGTTAATCTACTCTAAGTCTCATGTGTTGTGGAACATTCAGCCTGGGTTACAAAAGCAAGCTCCACCAGCTCTTCAGCAAATGTTGATGAGCAAGTGAGTGAATGAATGGACTGACTAGTGCTCACCCTTTGTGTAGAAGATGCCTTTGAATCTAATTAAACAATCTTAATCCCACCCCACTCTCCTTATTTCTCTCTGTCCCTTCTTTTTTTGCTGACTGGCAATGCAAAGTCTAGCTATTAACCGAGTGGAAGTTTCTGCTGTCGTTTAAAATGAAAAGAACTTCTGTTGAACAGAGGCAATGAACAGAGGAAGGATGTAGTAACAAAGAAAAAGGCTTTAGAACCAGCTTTGATTTTAACCTTGACTTGGCTGCCTCCTCACTGTATGGCCTTGAGCCAATTATTCTCTTTTCTGAAGCCAATTCCCTTATCCTAAGAATCTAGCAAAAGTATACCTCTTGGGTTGTGGCATTCAATGAGGTAGCACATAAAATACCCACCATAATGCTTTAGAGCATAATTCTTCATGTGAATCAGAAAATGAACAGCAGAAAAGACCTCTGCTCTGTCACTGGTATAAACTTATGCATCATGAGTCGTTCTGACAAAGTATAAGCTCTGGAAGTCAGCTATTTATTATCCCCTGTATGTTTCACGAACAGGACGTACACACTTGATTGCTAATACTACAACCTCCTTGCAAGGAAGCTGTTATTGTCGTTAAGGCAAGTGAGACCCAGAGATGTTCAGTAATTTACCCACGGTCACATGGCCAGTGGAAGATGGATGAGGGATTTGAACCCAGGTTTTCTGATTCCAAGGTTGTGCCTTCTCTATGCCCTCAGTTGCCTCTCTTTCTAAGAATGACTTTGCTTCGGGCAGACCAAATTCATCAACACGTTCTCAGTTACAGATGTCCAGTCTGACTGGCATAAGTGGAAGATGGAGGAGGGATTCTGTGGGGTGTGATAACGGGATGTTGTGCGTGAAAAGTGCAGCCAGATCCAGGGCTTGAACAATGTCATCAAGACTCTGTCTTCTACCTGTTGTTTCTGCCCCTCTCTGATGGGCAGGCTTTTCACAATTGGAGGCAAAATGGTCACTGTTGTTGGTTGTACGTAATCAGCTTTCCATTTGCCAGTTAGAGCAAAGAGAGCCTTGCTCCTAGCAATTCCATCAAAAGTCCTGGGTGATGTTCATGGCTCTTAATGGTCTGGCCTGGGCCATGTGCTCATCTCTAAACTAATCCCTGGGCTGGAGGATGGATTAGTTGAGTTGGAAGGTGGAATATGTTGATTGGCCAGGCTTGGGTGATGTGTCCGGGTGAACTCAGTGCAGAAAAGGATGATTTCTCAAAGAAAAATCAGGGCTCACTTACTAGCAGAAGGGGAAGTAGATGCAGGTTAGGGAAACCTATGGCTGTCCACCTTACAGTGCTTGATTACACCTCAAGTCTGAGCCAAAATGAAGGAAGATGTCATGAGCAGCCACAGTCCTAAGCAACACAAGCAGAGCATAGGAACATCTCAGGGTCTTCCAGTTCCCATCTCAGAAGGGATGCAAAGTTCTATAACCTTTGAATTCCCCATATGTATTATTTCTATCTCTCTGTGGGTAGTGGGAACACTCTATGCAATCTAAGTTACCCATCAGGCAAGGGCGTCAAATGAAGTGATTAATTACATAGATACCCTGGTTTTGCTGCCACTTGCCACACTAGATGACATAAGCTGCCAGTGTCCCTCCCGAGAGTTCCCCGTGTTGCCACCCTTGTGCTAAGCCCAACCCACCCTTGTCTTTCCACTCTAACCTCTTGTGGATGTCACTGCAAGGTGATGGCATGCATTCGCTCCTGCTGCTGTGTGTCCTCTGAGACATGCTGCCAGCTTAGGGTCGCCTTCTGGCACACTATGGGTAGTAAGCTCCTAGGTCTGGGTTATAGTCACTTCTTACTTCCTTGGCCATGCTGGGTTCCAAGTAGAAACAGAAAGAATGCTACGTTCACCACAGCAGCACTGCGCAACAGAACCTTCTGCCATGGTAGAAGGATTCTATGTCTGTGCCATCCAATATGGTAGCCACTAGCCACAACTGGCTATTGACCATTTGAAATGTGGCTAGTACAACCAAGGAATGTTTTCAACTTTATTTAATTTCACTTAATTTAAATATAAAATTAAATAGCCATGTGGGTCAGTGGCTACCACACTGGACAGTGTCGTTCTACAGGATTCAGAATTGGTCCAAGGGGGTAGAACTAGGGTCCTGATGCTCTCCTGTCCTCTTCATCTCTCCTACCTGTCATCCCTATTCCTCCTCCAGGTATCTGCACTCCTAATGCCTTCCTGGCAAGCCCTCTTCTCCATTTGTAAACCAATTCACGCAAATTGATGCTTGGAGTGATACCAGCCCATAGGCCAGAGCTGCCAGGCAGCTGCCACCTGTGACACACCCCTACCCTTAGCAGGCAAAAGGGCTCAACAGTCTGTTTTTGGTTATAGCAACAACAGGTGGGGCAATTCTGCAATGAGCTTGGGTGGGTGGACAGATCCCAAAAGAGAGTGGGACAGTGACAGCTATGGAGAGAGATGAGGAACATCGGGAAGCAGACTGGGCTCAGGAAGTGCCCTAACACTGAGGAAAAGAGAAGGCTGAGAAAAATGTGCTCAATTCTTGTTGACTTTTTCTTGGCCACACTGAGTGATACCCTGGGAACTGTTCCAAAACAGAGGTGAGGCTGCTGCTGGAGGGCAATGTTGGATCCAGGCTCTAGCTCAATTTTTATAGCTTCAGAAAATATTAAATGCTTTGAGAAACACTTTGGATAGGGATCATGTACATACCGTGTGGTAGTTAAGACTTTTGGTTACTTTGGTTTGAATGAAATATTGATCGGCCATTATTAAGCACAATTATTGGCATAAAAGAGGTTTTCAATACCCATTTTTAGTATAAAGCAACATTCCCATTCTCTCTCCCTCTTTTTCTTCCTCTTTCTTTTCACTCCTATTTTTTTCTTTCTTTCCTTCTCTCCTTTCAAGAAAAAAAAAAAACAAGGAACTCAACTACCTTAACCTGAAGAGGTGATTTGCTCTAAGGAAAAAGAAATGCCACCTAAGAGTAGAGGGTGGCCAGGCCTCTGGAGTGGTTAGCAACAGTGACTGACGAGAGGTACTCAGTAGGTCCCCTCTGCTCACCCCTGCCTCTACCTCTCCCTGCACACCGGCTCTCTTCTTTTTCAGAGTAGCTACAGTTGTGTTGTGGTGTCTGATCTTCCATGTCACAGGCCTAGACCTAGAGAGAGATGGGAGCAGCTCTTTTGGTCCTAATTTCAAATTCTTGTGAAAGGGAAGCCTATGCCAATCCCGGATTAACTTCCCATCCTTGGGCCTGTCTGTCTTGGACATTTCCATAATTTAGTTATATGAACAGACTCATCCTGATCCTACTGTGTAGACAAGGTTGGAGAGAAGGGACAGCCTCACTGGGGTCGAGGTCAACGCGCCGTATCTAGCAGGCACCTGCCCCGATGCGTGTCCAGCAGCATCCCACCCCCTAGGAGAGCAAGCTGCTCATGAGGTTTGCTGCTGAGAAGCATTTGTTCCTCACTGTAGAATAGCTTTGTCGAGCGGCTTTGGTAGTTACCCTGGGCTTCCAGTACTTCAAAAAGATCGCGATTAGCAGAGCAACTCCAGTTGAAGCCAATTACTTCCAGGCAGCAGAAACTCGGTCACAGTTTGGCTGGGAATTGATCTGCTTCTGGAGTGATCATAAAATTTGCCCATTAAGCAACTCCTTTCTGCTGCTATTGGGGTTTTAGAAACAGTCATAGAAATATGTATCACTATTACCATCTTGTAAATGAAAGTGTGACCTCCTGCCACAGAGCGCTTTGAGAATTAACCCTATCATTTTGCCATATGTTAAATAGGGTGAACAGTGAAGAAGACCCTGAAAGTACAGCTTGTATTCTGGAAGGAAAACAGACCTACTTTACAAAAACTGTTGAGGATGCAAACCATTTAAAAGAAGACCAATCAGTGTATTTATTCACTCACTTGTTCACTCATTCAAAGGACATCTGCTAAATGCCCTGATGTGCCAGAAACATGGGGACAGAGAATATAAGATAAAGAGTCCAGCTGGAAGCAAACCCTAACAGGATTTCCTCAGTTTGTATATCTTTATTTGGCTCAGCCTATGCAGGGTCACCATGTCTTGTTCCATGGTCGCCATGTCTGGTTGCATGGGCTGTGCACTGCACAAGGATGCTGGGGGTGAACGGGGCTGAATCTTGTTATCTGACCCTGCATCCTGGTACTGGCCCACATCTGCCAGAGGGGGGTGCCTTTTCCGGTAGGTTAGTGGTGAATGGGTGATCACAGGCTTTATTGTGGGGTCTAGGACCTGGATAAGAGTGAGGGAGGCACTGATCCTACCAGGACTTGGGCAACAGGTGTAAACTTGGACTGTCCTGGGCAAATCAGGACACTGAGTCACCCACTGGTAAAAGGAGAGCTGTGCCCTTAGGGCCTGTTTTAGTGACCAAACATGTCTCCCATTTTACTACTCCTAGCCTTCTCAGGACAGAACTCTCTGTTCTCCTCCTCCGCTGGCCATGGCCCCCTTGAATTCCTAGCACCTCTGTGTCTTGTCCAAAGACGGATCAGAGAGACAGCAGAGAGAGATGGAGAACCAAGTGAATGGGGCAGGTAGTGAGAAGCTGGGAGGAGGTGAACAGTGCCTCACTTGGGGGGAGTTGTTTTTGGCAAATGGGAATCTTGGTTGTTGTTGTTCATGTCTTTGGAGACCCCTCTCTCAGGGAACCCTGGATAGAGAGGTCAAATAGTCATGGAATGTGTTTTTGGAGGGTTTTTTTTTTAGATGGAGTCTTGCTCTGACACCAGGCTGGAGGGCAGTGGCATGATCTTGGCTCACTGCAACCTTCACCCTCCGGTTCAAGTGATTCTTACGCTTCGGCCTCTCGAGTAGCTGGGACTATAAGTGTGCACCACCACGCCCGGCTAATTTTTGTATTTTTAGTAGAGAAGGGGTTTCACCATGTTGGCCACGATGATCTCGATCTCTTGACCTTGTGGTCCGCCCGCCTTGGCCTTTCAAAGTGCTGGGATTACAGGCGTGAGCTGTTGCACCTGGCCGATTTTTTTTTAAAACTGCATTTGTGCTTCTTTTCTGTTGCCACTGCCTTCCTTAATCCTTGATTTGCATGTATGACGCCACCATAACTTAAGTCACCTTAGTGGAACAGGTACCACATCCCAGCTCCAGCAAAGCATTCTGCATCATTTCCAGCCCTCACAGCAAGCCTGACAGGAGAGGGGCTGTGCAAGAATAAAAGGAGATGTTTTGTTTGTTCCTCTGCACTTTGCCAGGTGTCGTGTGAAGTTATTCCCAAGAGATCAACTTACGGGCAGGAATGACATCCAGCTCATCTCGAGCTGATGTGATGCTCAGCCCAGGGCTGACTCAGAGTGGCTCAGATTTTCAATAGTCTCTGTTGGGTGACTGTGGTATGTTGGCGAAGGCATAGGGGAAGAGGATTTACCACTGACTGCGTATCTTTTTATCCTCTTTCAACTTCCTGTTATGTCTCTGTGTCGCCTAATGGATGAATTTAGTTCCACTGCACTTTTAACGGGAAGAATTCGTGTTCATTTACCGCACAGTTTGCCCTCATCTACCCCAAATTATTGAAAATCTCTCTAGTAGCTAATGTCTAATAAGGAAAGGATGATCACTCTAGAGTCTGGAACATTTTGGGTCTCTGCCAAGGGAAGGCATCTCCCCAGCGAGTTCAGCCCATGGGAAGGATGTCTGACTTCACTTCAGAAGTGCCTGACTGGATGGGCAAACTGGCAGGGTTGGTGCTGAGGCGCCGAGGCCTACCCAGGGCTCCCGTGTGTTATGAACTGTGTGAGAAGCTGAATAAAGTTTTCAGATTTCTGAAACTCAGTCTCATAACAGCCTCATGGACAGAAGCTAGATTCCGAGGCAGGGCTCATTTCTGTTCTATCAGCATGGAGCTAGCTTGTTGGTGAAGGAATAATAAGCATCAGGGCTAAAACAGCAGAACTAGCTTCTTTTCTTTTCTCTCTTCATTTCTTTGGTGAGGGAGCCTTGCTCTGTCGCCCGGTTGGAGTGCAGTGGTGTGATCTCAGCTCACAGCAACCTCCACCTCCTTGGTTCAGGTAATTCTCCTGCCTCAGCCTCCTGAATAGCAGGGACTAACAGGTGCATGCCACCAACCCTGGGTAATTTTTGTATTTTAATAGAGACAAGTTTTCACCATGTTGGCCAGGCTGGTCTTGAACTCCTGACCTCAAGTGATCTGCCCACCTCAGCCTCCGAAAGTGCTAGGATTATAGGCATGAGCCACTGTGACCAGCCACATCAAACTAGTTTCTATGAAACTGACTGAGATTACGAAAACAGTCTGAAAATAAGACTTGAAGGTATCACTTCTTTGTGTGTCTATTTAAGCCAACAATGCCAGTTTCCATAAATAGGCTCAATGAAATCCTTCCTTCCTGTCCACACCATTGCGCTTATCAGGGAAAATGTGTGCAAGTGTGGCTATCCCCAGAGCCAGCACATGGAAGGCACCCAGATCAACCAAAATGAGAAATGGAACTACAAGAAACACACCAAGGAATTTCCCACGGATGCCTTCGGGGATATTCAGTTTGAGACACTGGGGAAGAAAGGGAAGGTAAGCAATGGTTTTTTACTTTGGTAGCTAGTTCAGAGGCCCAAGTGGCTTGGGCTACCTTGATTTACCTGTAACTGTCTAACAGGATGGAGGCAGGAGAGATGGGTAGTAAACACCAAAAAGGATTGCAGGAAAACATACATCTTGGAAAAGTCAAAAAGCAGTGATTAGACTGCTCACTGGAAAACTTGGCGGGTAAGGACTGGATTATCACCTCGCCCTCTGTGTCCACACACAAGGCAGGCATTCATATGACATCCACCTTGAGACCGCTATTACAGAAGCCCCAGGAATGCTTTCGTGAACCTGATTGCTTAGCTCTGTGTACTCCTGAGTTATATACTGCCCTGAATACGCATTCCCTCCACACTCACTGTGCAAGCTCTCCAGCAAGGTTTTGCAAAGATGTTAAGTGATCATAAACAGCCTCTCCTACATCCTCCGTGCTCTCAGTCTCAATGAGAGCACCGTCCACAGGCTGCTTCTGCAGGAGCCAGGCCTCTCCTCCCCCAGCTCCCCATGGCCGCCCTGGGAGATGACCCAGCCCCATCCACTGCTGACTCCTCCCAGGGCCTCTGCCCCAGCATGGGCCAGCACCCTCTCTTGTTGCCCACAGCTCTGCCCACCTCCCTGTGGCATCAGCAGGGGTGCGGAGGACTCTAAATGCAAAGCCCACCCTATTACTACCCTGCTTCAAACACCTCAGGGTACCCCTGTAAGTCCCAAGTTCTCCACCTGGCCTGCGGGGCTTTTCAGGGCCCCCAGAGCCCTCCGGTCTGCTTTCCTTCTGTGAAGCCTGGAAACGGATATCTGAAACAGGTATCCGTTGATTTAGAAAGTTTATTTTGCCAAAGTTGAGGACTCACACCTGTGACTCAGTCTCAGGAGGATCTGACATGTGCCCAAGGTGGTCAGAGCACAGCTTGGTTTTGTACATTTTAGGGAGACGCGAGGCATCAGTCAACATAGGTAAGATGAACACCAGTTCCATCCGGAAAGGCGGGACAACTGGAAGCGGGGAGGGGGCTTCCAGGTAAAAGGTAGACAGGAGAGGATGGTTGCATTGTTTTGAGTTTTTTGATTAGCCTCGCTCCAAAGAAGAGGCCCATTCTGATGCTTCTCCCTCTTCCCCCACAGTATATCCGTCTATCCTGCGACACGGACGCGGAGATCCTCTACGAACTGCTGACCCAGCACTGGCACCTGAAAACGCCCAACCTGGTCATTTCTGTGACCGGGGGCGCCAAGAACTTCTCCCTGAAGCCGCGCATGCGCAAGATCTTCAGCCGGCTCATCTACATCGCGCAGTCCAAAGGTGCGGGTGGGAGGCTGCCCCACGGCCAAGGCCAGCAGCGACCTGGTTCTTCCATTCCGGGGCACCAAGTCTGGGGAGCAGAGAAGGGAGTTCCTCTGTGCAGTTCCGGAGAATCCGGATGCTGCTGGAACTGATTAATCATTATTTTACTGAAAGCAATATCCTCTAATGAAGGGACAGGGAGGTCTGGCAGATGGTGGGGGAGCTTCACAAAGTAACTCTTTAATTCAGCGTTAAGGTGCTTCCTTAGGGGAAATATTTTTAATCTTGTAAGATTTTCACTTTCTTATGAACACATGTAAAATTTTACCCAGAATTTCGGTCAGTGCCTGAGAAATGGTGAGCACACTGTGTCGGATTGAGGTCAAAGGAATTAAGGCTTTGTCACTTCAAACAGTATTTTCTTTCTTTTTAACTTTATATTTTAACTCAACTTTCTTTTTAACTTTATATTTTTAACTTTTCAACTTTAAATTTGTAGATTTAAAGTTGCAAGAATAGTGCAATGAACATCTGTACATTCTTCACCCAGATTCACCAATTTTTAACATTTTCCCACATTTGCCTTATCTTGTTCCGTAAATATCTACATATGATTTTTTGGGGGGAACCATTGAAAGCAGGTTGCAGGAATCATGATCCTTAATCCCTAACTACATGAACGTGCCCCGCCCCCAAGAACAGGGGGTTTTCTCCTGTAACCCAACACACTTTTCAAACCCGAATGGTTACCATGGACCAACACTGCTATCCAACAGTTTATACTCAAATTTTGCTAATTATCTCAACAAGGTCCTTTAGAGCAAACATTCTTTTTTCTCAATTTGTATTCCAAATCGATTCAGCTTTTGTCTTTTAAAAAAATTTTATTTTAGTTTTCTCATATCTGGACCTGGTTCTTAGCCTTTCCTTGCCTTTCGTTACATTTTCTTTTCTTTTTTTTTTTTTTGAAGACTGTAGGCCAGTTGCTTTGTAGATGTGGATTTGGTTGAGGTTTTCACATGATTAGATTCAGTTTATCTAATCTTAACATTTAAAAACTTATTTTATGAATAATTAATATTGACTGAAAGAGTTAATCTAGATGGGATTTTTTTCTTGATGTCAGGAAGAAACTGAGATGCTTTGTTTTCTTTTTCCCATTCATTTTTCTCAGTTTCCTGACCAACCAAAGGGGACACTGCAGGTTGTCACTTTGTTATAAAATTGAGAAACTCAGCTTTCTCGCTACTGAATTCCGAACACACCTTATTCATTCATTAAACAAATACTTATTGGATGCCTATGATGTGCCAGAAATTGTTTTATGTGCTAGGAATACAGAAGAACAAAATGGACCCAAAAATCTCCGGGCTGGGGCACATATTTCTATGTAGATGAAGTGAAGCAATTGAGGAAGTTGAATAGTTTCATTGTTGCTGGTTGTCCACTTGGAGTGCTGCCTTCACTCCCCATTGTCTCATTTTGAAAGGGAACGTTAATGGCTGAAATTGATATGAAGCCATACCCCCTCTAGGTGGATGCAGTAAGTCAATCACTGTGAGCATGGGTTTTTGCAAAAGAAAAAAGATTTATTCACAGGGTTGCCCAGTGAGGAGATGGGCGAACAGCTGTCAAATCTGCCTCCTCAAAGATAAGGACTAGGAATATTTAAGGAGTAAAGAAGCAGGTGTTCTACTGCGTGGGGAAAGGTGATGGGCAGTGGAGAAGGAATGAGGTAATTGGTGGTTTGTGGAGGTGTAGTCAGGGTTCATGGCTCTTCATAGGATGCCTGTTCAGAAAATGGCAGTGTTAGCATGATCTGAGGGAGGAGTTTTGGCCCTCTGACATCAAAAGATCATCTCTTGGGCAATCGTGAATGCTCAGTTGTAGAGTCAATGGTCTCAACTGTTTTGAACTGGTTCAGAGCAGCTCCCTAGCTCCTGAAAAACAACTTTAATCAACCATTATCATAGTGATGTATTTGTCAGTGGTGTTATCTATAAGGAAACTAGTGGAATTTAGTTATGTGTTGTTAGGCTACATGACTTTTTGCTATACAGATTTTAAAATCAACTAGAAGGAAGCAGTTAAAAGCAAGCAAGGCAGGTGAAGTTTGGTGGTTAGCTCTCGGTTTCAAAATCTGTCTAGAGGAAGGAAACTGGGTGCTGAGAGGCTGGATTTATGGTCCATGAGAACTGGTTAAAAGAAGTAGATATAAAACTTCTAAGGTGGAGATAAGTAAAATTGTTCCTCATTGCTGAAGACCATAGCAAAATAGAGAATGGAGATAGAAAAGGGGCTTTCTAACGATTGGAGGAGGGGGCTGCCTCTCAACTCCTGATGCTTCTCTTATAAGAGCTAATCCAAAGAGGCCAGTGACCTCTCTGAGGGTAGATTCCTACATGGGCAGCATATTATACTAGGGTCATTTTCAACTTTAGATTCTAGTTTTATGCAAAATAATATTTTTGTAGTTATATTTATTCTACTTTGCCCCCCTCAATAAAACCCTGTATAACCCTTAGCATTGAGAAGATAGTCAGTTCTAAACCTTAAAAAGGCCAGTGTGCAAAATTGTGTTTTACAAGCAAAGTGAAGTTGTTGACACAAAGGCCAGCCGAGGAAACTTGAATCCAACCAATATGGGTGTCCAGGAGAAGAGCGCTTGACTTTCCGTGGTTTCCTCTAAGCATGGCTAACTTGCTTAGAGGCTCTGGTTAGGTATTCATTGTCCATAAGAGCCCTCTAGGGCCTGGTTAAAAGATACAGACAGATTCCCTGGACACACTTCTCAGACAGCCTGATGAGGTAGATTTGAAATAGGATCAAGAATCTGTATTTTTTTAATTGCATTTTAGGTTTTGGGGTACATGTGCAGAACATGCAAGACAGTTGCATAGGTACACACATGGCAGTGTGTTTTGCTGCCTTCCTCCCCTTCACCCACATTTGGCATTTCTCCCCAGGCTATCCCTCCCCATCTCCCCCCTGCTGTCCCTCCTCTATTCCCCCCAATAGACCCCAGTGTGTAGTACCACCTTCCCCGTGTCCATGTGTTCTCATTTTTCCTCACCCGCCTATGAGTGAGAATATGCGGTATTTCATTTTCTGTTCTTGTGTCATTTTGCTGAGAATGATGTTCTCCAGATTCATCCATGTCCCTACAAACGACACGATTTTTAAGAGAACATCTCTCAGGAACACTGTCTGCGGTCCCCTCCTCCTCTCTTGCCATGTGACATAGCTGCCAGTGCTCTGTCCTGATGCCTACAGGAATGGGGCCTTCTTTTTAGGGGTCTGAGCCCAGCATGGAAACTTGGCCCAGTGCCAGTTGACCATTTACTCTTTCCATTTGCTGACAGGCGCTTGGATTCTCACAGGAGGCACCCATTATGGCCTGATGAAGTACATCGGGGAGGTGGTGAGAGATAACACCATCAGCAGGAGTTCAGAGGAGAATATTGTGGCCATTGGCATAGCAGCCTGGGGCATGGTCTCCAACCGGGACACCCTCATCAGGAATTGCGATGCTGAGGTACGGGTGGGACAGGAGGAGATCTCCTAGGTCACATGGAAGAAAGGCCATGGCGTGGGCCTGTGGCCTGCACCCTGAGGCTTTGTGATGGAGCCAGATCATGGGGAAGTCTGCCTTTCAAGGGGTGCCTTTGGGACTGTAAAGGAATTAAAAACAAGGATGACGTACCTAATTAACTGCTGGGAAGAAGTCAACAATGAATGTGTTTTGTTCATTAAAATGTGTACTCAGCAATTTCATGTCACAGTCTTTACTCTTTATAACCGTGGTTTAGATCCATCTCAGGAGGGCTCAAGCCCAGCGGCAGTATCTTGATTGCTTGGCTACACTCACAGGGATTCAAATCAATGGCTACTGTCCTTGGTTAGTTTGGCATTAAGAAGGCTGTGAGACAACCCCCTCCACCAAAATGTTTCCTGTGAACATATTTAGAGAGTAATGAGCATTTCATATTAAAATTACAAGGTAGACATATGGGGACTTGTATCAAGTGTGGAATTTTTAAAACAACATTTCTAGTAGTTGAGGACCTTCTTAAGCAACAGGTGTTCTTTGCCCAGAAGCTTTGGACCGAATGTTCAGAAATCCACATTTAAGCTACACCTTCTCCCATCTGGGCTCCTTAGAAGTTTAGGCAGCAAATGTTAAGGATTTTTGGAATTGCTGTGATTCTTCTTTTAGAATTATTTTATTTTTGCATCTTGGTTACCATTTTTGAGACATATAAGGGGCAGAGGAGAGTGGGAGGTTTTTTTTTTTGCACATCTTCAAGGAGGAAGCATGGTAGATGGGGGGGAGGAGGATGTGTTTTGAAGACAGAGAAGTCTGGGTTGGAGTAATCATTCTTTTTCTAGCTGCATACACTGGAGCCAGTTCCCTTCTTCAAGTTTTTACAATAATAACCTGTATTGTTATGGGATTGATTTATCTATCGTGCAGAGTGAATGGTAACTTCTGTTATTATTATTAGGTGCTCAACAAGAGATGGCAAAATAGTTTCACATCAAATGCCAACTTCAGGATGAGAGTGGCCCAGAGCAGGCTTTTGAGGGCAGTGGCAGGCTCAGTGGGAAAGAATACCATTGTCGATTAGCAATATTTGTAATGGGCATGGGAGTCAACGTAGTGTTGTATAATTATCCCCATGGTAGATGCAGGGCATATGTTAATTCACAGACTCACACAAAAACCTTGAAAATGAGTATTTTTATCCCTTAATGGGAATGAGAAAAGACTTCAAAATCTCCCTGGAGGCTGTCTATAGGGCCCGTTTTCTAGCAACAAGTAAAACTTGAAATGAATATGTAAAGATGAAAGGAAGTGCCAATCATTTGGAAACTAAGAAACAACCAACCACTCAACCATCTGGGTAATAAATGTTGGATCTAGAACGACCTTTCAAAAATGTAATATCAGATAACTTAGAAAGCAGTGCAAATGAACACATTACATATTAAGAATGACATGTGTCAATATGTCAGTATGGCCAAAGCTGCATTCAAAGTGAAATGCATAGCCATATGCCTTTATTAGTAAAAAAAAAGTTAATAAATAATCCGTTAATCGTAATAACAAAACCTGACATTTATATAATAGCACTTGTTATGTGCTAGGTTCTATTCTAAGTGTTTTACATATGTTAATTCATTTGATCTTCATAACAAAACTATGAGCTAAGTACTACTAGACCCCTCTCATTATAGATGAGAAAAGTGAGGAACACAGAAAGTAAGAAACTTTCTTAACGCACATCTCTAGTTAGTGGCAGATCCATGGTGCACAATCTTTTAAACATTACGGTATTCAAGTTAATAAATTTGAAAAATAATATCACCAGCAAAACTCTAAATTTTGTCTGAATACTAGTTTTTCTTTCTGTTCTCTTTGAGTTTTGCTGGGGATATTATTTTCAAACTTATTAAATTCTATTCTTGGAGTTAAGAATGAAACCCTTTTTAATGCAACCCTGATACTTTAAAACCTAAATGTCTTTGGATGAAGCTTGAGAGTGAAGAAACTTTTCGGTGAGGGTTCCCTTCTTTATGTTCCTGTAGCAGCTTTTTATTCTCTGGTATTTTGGGGATGAAGCATTCATTTAGTTGTTTCTTTTTGTGGTCCTGTTACTACACACTTCTCAAGTGCAAATACTGTATTTCATTAATTTTCTTTCTTTCTTTTTTTTTTTTTTGAGACGGAGTTTTGCTCTTGTTACCCAGGCTGGAGTGCAATGGCTCGATCTCGGCTCACCGCAACCTTCGCCTCCTGGGTTCAGGCAATTCTCCTGCCTCAGCCTCCTGAGTAGCTGGGATTACAGGCACGCACCACCATGCCCAGCTAATTTTTTGTATTTTTAGTAGAGACGGGGTTTCACCATGTTGACCAGGATGGTCTCGATCTTTAATCCCTAGATCTGGCATGGGTCCCAGCATATGATAGATACCAGACAACTATGTATGTGTGCATTTCAATGTCTGCTTCTACCTGTATCCAGACACACACAAATATGTACACACACACACACACACACACACACACACACACACACACACACACACTTTCCTGAATGCTGAATTTCAATTTCATCTAGTTTATGCAAAAGAGCACAGGGCAATGAACCAAGAATTGGACTGAGAATCTGATTCTTACACTGTTACTGACCATTTATGAGAAAATGAGCAAGTGGCACAACCATTTTGAACTTCCATTTCCTCATATATAAAAGGAAGTCTGTACTATAAGATTGCTAAGATTTTTTTGAATTTAGGAATTTGGGAGGAAGCATAATATAATTGAACCCAAAGCATTAGCTTTCATATGAATATATAAAAATATCATCATGTATCTTGACTGTTAGGTACAATCTCAAAGACAAGTTTCCCTGTACTTTGCAGGGCTATTTTTCAGCCCAATACCCTATGGATGACTTCACGAGAGACCCTCTGTATATCCTGGACAACAACCACACCCATCTGCTGCTCGTGGACAACGGTTGCCATGGACATCCTACCGTGGAAGCAAAGCTGCGGAATCAGCTAGAGAAGTACATCTCTGAGCGCACTATTCAAGGTCAGTAGTTAGGAAGTAGGACACTAGGCATGTACAGTAACAACAGCAGCCACAGCACCAACAACTATTGAGTGACACATGATATACATACCTGATTGGGTATTTTTATTGCCAAAGAACTGTTATTTCTCTTCTTTTTTCAACACACCAGGATTGCTTCTGCCAGGGTCACTGTGATATGAACCCTTCAACATGCTAAAGGCAATGATAGATGCGGCCTTCTTCCATTGTGGTTTGTCAGCATAGAATGCTGGCTGTCTTCTGCTAGATACCATTTAAGAACAAATTCGATCTGCCATGACGAATATAAGTTTATGAAACAATGCAATTGGCTAGAATAGTAAAGATGAAACCAATCTACTAGTTTAACAATGGCTTCCTTTTTTTGAGTCTTGGCTACTTCTGAGTAACAGAAACTGGTTTCAAGAGAAGAGTGTAACAGTCGAGTGAAAGCCATCATTTGCCACGGTTAAGTGACATGCAGTTTCTCTCTTCTTGTGGACAGGGTATTGAGATGTGTCCCGCTGTGGAACAAGATTACCTTGTGGTTTGGTGATATACATAATGACAGGAACTTGTTGGAGATGTTCTCAATTCTTTTCCTTTCACAATCAGACATACATGAAAAAAGGCACTGTAAATGCAGTAAACTCTGTTGGGAGACCACTAGTTATACAAAATTCTCACTCACTCAAGAAAACATAGGATTATGCAAATGAGTGAGAGAATCATAAGAATAAATTTAAACCTAGTTTAATTTATAGGTGCAAAGATAAATCATGCATAGACTTTAAGTATTTAAATATGTATTTTAAATATCAATGACAGATTGCAGCATGACCCATGTCATGCTATTACTAGTGTGGGGCAAAAAGACCCATCCATCTTTAATGAGTAAAGTTCAAGTCCATGGGATGTGACGCTATCTCCCTACACCCTAGGCTCACAGGGCAGAAGCTCACAATCCACCTTTTCACAGAGGTAGGTGAGTATTTCCAGTGAGCTCAAAATTCGCTTTACTTTTTATGTTTTGCAGATTCTAACTATGGTGGCAAGATCCCTATTGTGTGCTTTGCCCAAGGAGGTGGAAGAGAAACATTGAAAGTGAGTCCTGATTTAGTTTTCTAGAAGGTTGGCTAATAAGCCTCTCCAACAAATTTGTATTTTCAGGGATTTGTGCTCATCTGATCTAACCTGACTAATGAATTTTGTTGCAGCAAGTAGGTAGTGTTTTCCCTCCACATACTGTTCCCCTAACAAACTCCAGTTGTTCCTTAGTCAAGAAGATTTGAGAGGAGAACTTGCAGTAACAGGAATAATCTGTGTACTTAGTGTTGGCCTTGACAGTCAACCTGCCAAAGAGATGAGTTGACATCAACTTGGGAGACTTAAAGATTGTAACCAGCACATATATTAGAAAGCTATGATCACCCCATCTGCACTGAGATGAGATGTGATCATACACACACAGATGACCCCCAAATCAGGTGTTTCCAGACCACCTAAGGCCCATTTATATGCTACCTGGGAATGCAGGTATGTTGCATGATGGAATCCCAAACCCTAAGTGATTCTGAGACCATGGAGACTTCTTGAATGTCTCTGCACCTGCAACACTGAGTGACTGAGCAAGAACTTGACTTCCCAGCCAGGATGTGTAGATTCATTGCCGAGTTCATCACGCCTGCGGCCAGGCTTCTGTTTGACTTCTTAAAAAATGAGTCAGCGTGACTGCATTTGAGGATGTAGTGTAAACCATTTTCAGGAGCTCATTTTCCTAGGAATAGCACATTACAAGAAAGTCATTTTTAACTCATCTTTTTCATGAATTTCCACAATGATTTGCATAGTCATCCTTTTACCCCTTCTATTTTGCCTCTAAGACAGGGAATAGATTAAAAATACCCTTGACCCTTGATCTTCTCCCCTCTCTTCATCAGAGTAAATCCCTAGAGCTAAAAGTAAGTGCTGACAAAATTATCCGGAATTATCATCTAGTACTTCTCTTTTTTTTTTATTTTTATGTAACAGTGATCTTTTTCTTCATTCATTCAGCAGATATTTATTGAGTGCCCACTGTGAGATTTATTATTCAGACCATGGTTAAATAAAAATCTTCAGGGAAACATCAAAATAGAGATTTTTTTCAGTGTGTGTCAGTATATTAAAACCCTTTTATGCCTAGAGTTTTATTATTGGAACGTGTGGGAACTATATCCTACTGCTCAAGGTCATCGCCAAGGTGATCACCAAAAATTTAAAAAATTGCGATATGTCACTAATACAACGTCCTAATATGTGTCACTCAAATCTATTACGTCAGCACTTGGAATGATTGATTTTGTATACAGGGATATTTTAAAGCACTTATCTTATCTATGGAAGACTCAAGCTAGTCATATGTGTTCTTATTATGGAATTAGTTATGGGCACAAGATTTCATACAATAGATTACATTTCTCATTCATAAAGCAGTTGCCAACATTCGATTTGCTTCTGATTAAAAATAAAAGCCCCAGTGGACAAAGTGTAAGGATGTGTCCCTGTGTTTTCACCAGCTCCTTAGTCAAGAGCTGGGTTCTGTGGACCAAAGTCTCTTTGATCTGCCTACCTCTGTCTCCTTCCCCCAGGCCATCAACACCTCCATCAAAAGTAAAATTCCTTGTGTGGTGGTGGAAGGCTCAGGCCAGATCGCTGATGTGATCGCCAGCCTGGTGGAGGTGGAGGATGCCGTGACGTCTTCTGCCATCAAGGAGAAGCTGGTACGCTTTTTACCCCGCACGGTGTCCCGGCTGCCTGAGGAGGAGACCGAGAGTTGGATCAAATGGGTGAGTTGTCGGGACCATGTCTGAGGGCTGAGAAAAGAAGCCAAATTTGTGAGAAGGGAGAATGCCTTAAACGCCCAACTTCCATCAGCAGCTGCAGGTTTTCCACGCTTTCTCCATGACTTTGAGACTCAACAGGTGTCTTGCTGGAAACTGAAGTTCAATAAGTTATGTGACTCAACAAGTGTATGATACTCCTACTTGAGATATTGCGTTTTTTAGTTTACTGAAAAAGGGAAAACTGATGGTTTTATATGAACGTTCTTACTAGGACGTCATAATAGCTTGTTCAAGTCCAGGAGAGAGAGAGAGAGACACGAGAATCTGGCAAAAGAAGATAAACATATCAGCCTTACTGATGATGAGGGCAAAGTCAAAAGTGGTGGCTTGAGGTGCAGAACATCGGGTCTGCGTATGCTAAGTCTCAGAATAAGACAGATGGGCCCATCCTGACACAGGCAGCCCCGACACCTGCTGACCTCCCTGCTGGGCTAGGCGTGGCAGCTGGAGACCGGGGCACTAGTGCTTTGCAAGGAGCAAAGCCCAGTGAGAGAAGAAGGAGAGGCTGGCTGGGCAAGGCCAATATGGCTCTTCAGCCCTGAGTAGGGGTAAGTGAAAGAGTGGAGATTGACCAGGCTGCTAATTCTGGTGTAGCTCCTCCCATGGAAATTCATTGGTTGGAAAAAGAAGCACTCCCTTTCCAAAGTGCTTATACATTGTTGATTATCTAAGCATTCATACCTAACTACTTTGAGTTAATTCTGAACATATAAACAGGTCTGGGTGCAGTGACTCATGTCTGTAATCCCAACCCTTTGGGAGGCTAAGGTGGGAAGATCGCTTGAGACCAGGAGTTCAAGGCCCACCTGGGTAATGTAGTGAGACCCTGTCCCTACAAACAAACAAACAAACATTAGCCAGGCATGCTGACACATGACTGTAGTCCCAGCTACTTGGTAGGCTGAGGTGGGAGAATCACTTGAGCCAAGGTGTTTGAGGCAGCAGTGAGCTGTGATGGGGCCATTGCACTCTACTCTAGGTGATGTAGTGAGATCACATCTCAAGAAAAAAACAAAAACAAAAACAATCAAAAAAAGTATATAAACAGGCCAGTCCCAAAGTATACATATCAAAGTAAGACACTGCATATTGATTACCACTCTCAGTGTAATTTCCTGTGATAGATCAAAGAAATTCAATGGCCAGTTCACGGATCTGCACAGAGGAAGGAAGAGATGACTCTGTTTTTTTTTTTTGTTTTTTTGAGACAGAGTCTTGCTCTGTTACCCAAGCTGGAGTGCAGTGGTGTGATCTTGGCTCACTGCAACCTCTGCCTCCCGGCTTCAAGTGATTCTCCTGCCTCAGCCTCGTACACGCCATCATGCCTAATTTTTTTTTTTTTTGTATTTTTAGTAGAGACGTGGTTTCACCATGTTGGTCAGGCTAGTGTCGAACTCCTGACCTCGTGATCCGCCTGCTTCTGCCTCCCAAAGTGCTGGGGTTACAGGCGTGAGCCACCGTGCCCTGCCAACAACTCTTACTTCATCCACCAGAGATGGCCCTAGGTCCACTTCAGTGACTTTCCTCTTACTCCCTGTACAAGTTGGCTTGCTGGGCCTTGACCCGGCCATGTCCAAAGAATAAAGGCCACCTGAAGGGTTCCATACCCTTTGTAAGGGATTTTGATTTCTGCTTCATGAAAACTGTTACGGGCAACTCAGCTGATATAGGCTAAAAGGCACATTCTACCTTATTTGATTATATTATCCTTTCTGCAATTCATAGATAATTCATATTCATACTGAATATGCTAATGGTATATCATAATCACAATCACATCAATCAGAAGGCATACATCAATAGTAAAAATCAGTCTGGAATTTTAATTAAGCACTCATATAGGGTTTTGCACTTGGTACAGATTTCCCAAAAGACCAAGCTCAAGAGTGGGATTATTAATTAATGAATATATACATTCAGTCAAATATTAATTAGGCAACCTTCCAGGGCAGTCCTGGGTGACCTCACGGACTCTGTGGATAACCAGCCCCAAAACCTGGACTCACAGTTTCTTGACCACTCTGAGCAACACCTGCTTCTGCCTCCCAAAGTGCTCCCACTGGGCTCACACCTTCCTCTCCTAAAAGCCATCATGGTTGTTCCCCCACGCCTATTCCCCAACATATGGAGAACTTGACCCTCCATGGTCTCCCAATCTAACAACCAATGTAGATCTCACTCGTTCATTTATTCATCTTTAACTTTCGTTTATTAACTTATTCAGTAGATATTTGTTGAGCACATACTGCATGCCAGGTCCTGAAACAGGCATTTCCGAAAGAATTATGTTGCTTAGTGATGACAGTACAGTTCATTGTGTCATTGGAAGCGCAATGGGTGTTTGAAACAAAGGTGACATGGATATAGAAGGGCGGGTGCTGAGGGAGCCTGGTCTGGTGTGGGGCTTTCTGGAAGGCTTCCTGGAGGAAGTGATAAGGGAGCCAAGATCTGAAAGATGGAGAGAGTTAATGAGATGGGGGCTGGGGTTGTGGTGGTGGGAACAGCATGTGCAAAGATCCTGGGACGGGAGGCATGCCTGAGGAGTGAAAGACAGCAGTGATGGTGGATGTGGTGTGTGGGAGCTCAAGAACTTGTGAGGTGCCAGCCCAGGAGGCTCCCTGAACCCCGTGTGGTCTTGTTCAAGTTCAATGGGATATTGTTAAAAGGTTTGAAGCAGGGAGAAAACGTGATAAGAGTTGTGTTCAGGAGAGCTTACTCGGGCAGCAGTGGGGCAGAGGATGGAAGAGGCAGGAGTGTGTGGGATGGAGTCCCAGCTAGGAGGCCCCTGTGGCCTTCTGTGGGGCCCATCAGTTTACTTGGTAGCCATATTCATTTTCTTCTTCCTTTTTATTTCAAGGGAAAATAAAAATAACCCCTGGTACTGCCCACTTCCACTTGTGCTCTAGGATTTTGGGAACTTTGCCTCTCCTCCCCGTGTGTCGGTCCTAGCTGGACCCCTATTCTTCAGCCTGAACAAAGGCTGCAGACAGAGGAAGAGGGCCTTTTCTTCGTGCTGTCATCCTCACCCACCCTCTGCTTCAAAGTCCCCATGGTTTGTCTTTTCCTGCAGTTTCCATTCATTTCCTCATCACCTACCTGGGTGCTTTGAACTAAGACCTCCATCACCACCTTTCCCAGGCAACCGCAGCCTCCCTCAAAAGCTCATCTTCTAATTTCCAAATCCAAGGGCTCTTGTTTCCACCTTCAAACAGCCGGACCCTGAGACTTTGTCTCCCACCCGGCGGAGCCTCTGCCATTCCAGATCCTCATTTCCAAATGTTGTCAGGGAAACCTGCCATCGCCTTGAACTCAATCTGATGGAAACCAGACTTGCTTCCTGGGCTAGAAGGGGCCCTTCCTCACCAAGCTCCTGCTGGGCTCGCCCGTGCTCGTAACCTTGGAATTAGGGATTTCTTTTTCTTTTTAAAATGTCTTAAAATTAAACATTACAGAAAGGACAATATAGAACATTCTAATCTCTTTCTGCAGTTTCCAAGTCTTCTTGTTTGCATTTGAGTGCTTATTTCCTATTGTTTAAGTCTTTATGGCCACATTTGGATGATGTCTATGGTCTTCTATTGTCCCTTATTTACTTTGTCATTGAATAGCTGAGCATCTGCCATGTGTCAGGCTTTGTCACACACACGCACACGCACACACACGCGCGCGCACACACATGCACGCGCACACACGCACGTGCACACATGCACACACACACGCACGCACAGATTTCTAGTCAAACGAGGCTCTCAGCTTTTTGATAGGTGCTTTTTGATCCGTGTGCCCTTGTATAACTGGTACTTCATTCTCACTGTAGTCAAGGACTCATTATTACAATTCAGAAATTAGAAGCTATTATCTGGAACTCCACTCTAGGTGGTCTTTTTAAAAAAGATCCCTCACAAAATGAAAGAAGTTTGTGCTCCTCGTGTAAAATCTGTTGGCTGACAACTCTGTTCTTTAACTTTTGCCAGCTCAAAGAAATTCTTGAAAGTTCTCACCTATTAACAGTTATTAAAATGGAAGAAGCTGGGGATGAAATTGTGAGCAATGCCATCTCCTACGCTCTATACAAAGGTGAGTAAAAATAGCTCCTTTTGAAGTGTCAGCTTTGTGTTGCCTTCTGTGGCTTTTCATGACATACATTTCTTTTATAAAACAGCTTTACTGAAATACAAGCTTGTGCTTAATTTTGATGATCCTAGATTGGACGTGAGAATAACTGCTCTTGCCCCGGTGAGGTGACTCTCCTTGGTCACATCTATTTGACAGAATAAGATTTTTTTTATGTCATTAAAATTTTGGTTAAACACAATCATAGTGGTCTCCAAAGAGCTATTTCTAATAGTGGTTTAAATATTTTTTTCTAATTGGGCCTCAGATTCCTTTGAGAATGTGGCAAAACTATGGATCTTTGTCATAGCATTCTACACGTGTACACACATGCACACATATTTCACACATGTAAGTAATTTTGCATTTAATTTCAGGAATTTAAAAATTCCCTGAAGTTTATGAATGAACCTCAGGTTAAAAAATTCTCATTCATGATCTTTGCTGCTTTAAAATTCCATGAAGTAATTGCTACCCGGAGTAAATAGATCCTTGGCTGTCTAGACTTGAATTGTGTGGCTGATAAATGTAAATTAGCTAGAGCAGAGCGAGGCACATTGGAAGTGCAACTTTAGCATTAGCAATCTATTAGAATCATTCTTATTGTACTTGCCAGAAATTTGGTTATAAAAGTATTTATTGAAATGGAATTGTGTCTGCACAGATACATAGATGCAGTAAATATTAGCTCTGGAAAAGACGAGAATAACATTGTTGTAATGTGGCTTATTCTTTCATAGATTTAGATACAGCATAAATCAGATATGGCATGAAATATAATGCTATGGAATCTGAATTTATGGAAAAATCCTTAAGATACCATTATTGCATTGTTAGGCTATGCAATGGAAAGACATTATTGTAGCTTGAGTCCATCCCCATTATAAACTTTGGGACATACATACAGGATGTGGGGCCGGGCGCGGTGTCTTATGGCAGGGTGTGATGGCTCACGTCTGTAATCCCAGCACTTTGGGAGGCCAAGGCGGGTGGATCATGAGGTCAAGAGATGGAGACCATCCTGGCCAACATGGTGAAACCCCGACTCTACTAAAAATAGAAAAATTAGCCAGGTGTGTTGGCGGATGCCTGTAGTCCCAGCTACTTGGCAGCTGAGGTAGGAGAATCGCTTCAACCTGGGAGGCGGAGGTTGCAGTGAGCTGAAATCATGCCACTGCACTCCAGCCTGGCAACAGAGTGAGACTCCTCAAAAAAAAAAATGAGTGAAGACTGAGTGAATGACAGCTGGAGTGTCTGAATTTATGAGAACATGCTCAGCACCACCTTTGATAAATAGCTCTGATAATTGGCCACACTGAGTGGTTCTGACTCTTATTTATGGGCCTTTGGTGAGTTGATTCTTGCCCTGCCCTGTTACAGCTTTTAGCACCAATGAGCAAGATAAGGATAACTGGAATGGGCAGCTGAAGCTTCTGCTGGAGTGGAACCAGCTAGATTTAGCCAATGATGAGATTTTCACCAATGACCGCCGATGGGAGGTAAGCAAGAAGCTCCTGGGTTATTCCAGTGTTGGGTCTGGACATTGGTCTGGGCAATGGCTGGTCCATTTCCATCGAGGTCTACAATACTGAATCTCTTAAAGGATTGTTCTGTTCTGGAATATCAGGATCGCTGAGCCTTCATTTTCTCGTCTGCAGCATGGGTTCATAACGTTGACTTAGTAGGTTTGTTGTGAAGAGTTAATACAAATAAATGGTGTAAAATAATAACTCTACAAGGCCTTCAGCCACAACATGAGGGTGATTCCACATCTGGGTGCAGAGATGCAGGGCTCCTCTTGGATGTGCGTGGGCAGAAGTATGGGAAAAATATATGGTGGATGATTGAAAGTGGCTCAACTACAAATCGCGACAGCGGCACTGTTTGCTTCCTGCCCCCGCTAAATTCTGATTAGAGAACTGTCTGTAGTGAGATGTATAAGACACAAATAGAACAACTTTACTGACACTACCCAGTGAATGTCTTAGAGCAGGGGTCCATGGCCTGTTAGGAACTGGGCTGTGCAGCAGGAAGTGAGCCGTGGGCGAGCGAGCGAAGCTTCATCTGTATTTACACCAGCTCTCCATCACTCCACCTTCAGACTGATTAGCAGTGGCATTAGAGTCTCACAGGAGCACAAACCCTATTGTGAACTGCGCATGCAAGGGATCTAGGTTGTGTGCTCCTTATGAGAATCTAATGCCTGATGATTTGTCACTGTCTCCCATCACCCCAGATGGGACTGTCCAGTTGCAGGAAAACGAGCTCAGGGTTTCCACTAATCCTACCTCATGGTGAGTAGTATAATTATTTAATTATATATCACAATGTAATAAAGATAGAGATAAAGTGCCCAATAAACGTAACGCTCTTGAATCATCTCAAAACCATCCCCCAACGTGGTCCACGGAAAAAATGTCTTCCAGAAAACTGGCCCCTGGTGCCAAAAAGATTGGTGACTGCTCTCTTGGAGCTAGAAACTCAGGACTCTCTTAACCAAATTAGCGTCTTTCGTATGGAAGTTGCACACACAATACAAATTGTTCTTTTTTTTCTTTCCAGCAGGCTGCATTTTCTCGCTTTTCAATGTGATTAGTGTTCTAGGGTTGCATTTCCCAGCAGTATCCTCCTGTGCACAACGAAAGTGCAGTCAGTCCTAGGAGCTTGTTCAGTGAAAACAATGATGAACCATCACACTCAGTTTTGTAAGGCTGCTTCTTTGTTGTTAGCTTTTCCAAATTCATTTAAGTCATTAGGGGGCTGTGAGAATATATGTAATTTTATACATGTACGTATAGATTTGAAGGGGCATGTATTTCATAACTTGTGTTCTTGGCTGACAGGGTCAGAAAATACTTTCAGGCCTGCTGTTGTATAATCAAAGACTAAGACTTGATTTCTATTAACACATGATCAATTTTAATGACAGCAGCAAAAATAAAGTACTGGCTTATGAGTGTTTAAATTATTCATTTCTTTAGCAAACATTACGTGGTGTATAGTGTTTGCAGTACAATGACCCCCACTGCACATTGCAAGGCTTTAATTCGTGGGGGGAAGTGGAACTCTAAGTAGCTCTAGTCAATTGATTCATAAATGAATTACTGTGTGTGAAATGTTCTACTTAAGTGAGGTCAGACGGTACAAGCAAACTTAGGCACATCGTGAATGGTACATTTAATTTTATTAACTCAGCGAAAGATGGTTAAGGGTGAAGGGCACAATGGCTAAGAGAATGGACTCTGGAGCCAGCCCATTTCCCTGACTTTGGGCAAATTCCTTACCCTCCCTATGCCTCCAAAAGTGTTGGGATTATAGGTGAGAGCCGCTGTGCCTCACAGTTTTTACTTTAACTCTTTGGGATTTTAATGGTGGAAATGTAGATTTTGATGAACTTTCTAATTTTCAAATGTTGGCAATAAACATTTGGAATAAAATTGTAAGAAATTCTATGGAGGACACACAGAACGCATCTGAGAGCTGGAGTGGCCTGTAGTCCATTAGATTGTGTTTGAAGTAAACATCGATGATCTTTTTTTTTTCCTTGAGATAAGTCTTGTTCTGTCACCCAGGCTGGAGTGCAGTGGCATGATCTTGGCTCACTGCAACCTCTGCCTCCTGGGTTCAAGCCATTCTCGTGCCTCAGCCTCCGGAGTAGCTGGCACTACAGGTGTGTGCCACCACACCTGGCTAATTTTTTATTTTAAGTTTTTAGTGGAGACAGAGTTTCACCCTGTTGGCCAGGCTGGTCTTGAACTCCTGACCTCAAGCGATTTGCCCTCCTTGGCCTCCCAAAATGCTTATAGTCTTTCTTAAGATTCTCATTAAGTTTCTATGGGCTAAGTTTTGTCAGAAGCCCAGAAATTAGAGCTAGAGATAGATAATAATGAAGTATAACTTTCAAGTGTTCCAGTGACTTACTGGCATGTAACATGACCAGACATTGGCTTGGTGGCGTGTGGTTTGCATATAGTTTGATGCATTGCATTTTAACATCTGTATATGAGAATGCAGTCACCATAATAGAAGGTTCCTGGGCATCTCTGAAGGGGAGCAGATCCCACATTGCAGCATACAGACAAGACTGGTGGCTGGGTCCTAAATGGTGTCTACTATCAACTTCCAATGGTACTACTATCCCTGCACCCCCACCCCTGATTGTTTCTTCCATGTCTGATACTGGTGAAAATTTTTCACCAAAGTCATCTCTACGTGGGTGTATTTATCTCCAGTTTAGCAAGGGGCTAAGTCACATTCAAGTTCACATCTAGCTGATGATAAAGATTTGACCATGCCATCCCTGTTTAGAAGTTTGAACTGTAGACACTGATTTAAATGTGTCCCAGAGATTCTGGTACACTGTGTCTTTGTTCTTTTTCGTTTCAAAGAACACCTTTGTTTCTGCCTTCATTTCCTTATTTATCCAGTAGTCATTCAGGAGCGAGTTGTTTAGTTTCCATGCAGTTGTGCGGTTTTTGAGTGAATTTCTTAATCCTGAGTTCTAATTTGATTGCACTGTGGTCTGAGAGACTGTTTGTTATGATTTCCGTTTTTTTTCCATTTGCTGAGGAGTGTTTTACTTCCAATTATGTGGTCAATGTTAGAATAAGTACAATGTGGTGCTGAGAAGAATGTATATTCTGTGGTTTTATGGTGGAGATTTCTGTAGGCATCTATTAGGTCAGTTTGGTCCAGATCTGAGTTCAGGTCCTGGATATCTTTGTTAATTTTCTGTCTCATTGATCTGTCTAATATCGACAGTGGAGTGTTAAAGTCTCCCACTACTATTGTGTGGGAGTCTAAGTCTCTTTGCAGGTCATTAAGAACTTGCTTTATGTATCTGGGTGCTCTTATATTGGGTGCATATATATTTAGGATAGTTAGCTCTTCTTGTTGCATTAATCCCTTTACCATTATTTAATGTCCTTCTTTGTCTCTTGATCTTCGTTGGTTTAAAGCCTGTTTTATCAGAGACTAGGAATGCAAACCCTGCTTCTTTTTGCTCCCCATTTGCTTGGTGAATCTTCCTCCATCCCTTTATTTTGAGCCTGTGTGTGTCTTTGCACATGACATGTGTTTCCTGAATACAGCATATCGATGGGGCTTGACTTTTTATCCAGTTTGCCAGTCTGTGTCTTTTGATTGGGGCATTTAGCCCATTTACATTTAAGGCTAATATTGTTATGTGCGAATTTGATCCTGCCATTTTGATGCTAGCTGGTTGTTTTGCCCTTTAGTTGATTTAGTTTCTTCACAGTGTCGATGGTCTTTACAGTTTGGTATGTTTTTGCAGTGGCTGGTACTGGTTGTTTCTTTCCATGTTTAGTGCTTCCTTCAGGAGCTCTTGTAGGGCAGGCCTGGTGGTGATGAAATCTCTCAGCAATTGCTTGTCCATAAAGGATTTTATTTCTTCTTTGCCTATGAAGCTTAGCTTGGCTGGATATGAAATTCTGGGTTGAAAGTTCTTTTCTTTAAGGATGTTGAACATTGGCCCCCACTCTCCTCTGGCTTGTAGGGTTTCTGCTGAGAGATCCGCTGTGAGTCTGAAGGGCTTTCCTTTGTGGGTGACTCGACCTTTCTCTCTGGCTGTCCTTAGCATTTTTTCCTTCATTTCAACCCTGGTGAATCTGACGATTATGTGCCTTGGGGTTGCCCTTCTTGAAGAATATCTTTGTGGTGTTCTCTGTGTTTCCTGGATTTGAATGTTGGCCTGACTTGCTAGTTTGGGGAAGTTCTTCTGGATTATGTCCTGAAGAGTATTTTCCAACCTGGTTTCGTTCTCCTTGTCACTTTCAGGTACACCCATCAAACGTAGATTTGGTCTTTTCACATAATCCCATATTTCTTGGAGGCTTTGTTCATTTTGTTTCGCTCTCTAATCTTGCGTTCTCATTTTATTTCATTGAGTTGATCTTCAATCTCTGATATCCTTTCTTCTGCTTGATTGGTTCGGCTATTGAAACTTGTGTTTGCTTCACGGAATTCTCGTGCTGTTTTTCTCAGCTCCATCATGTCATAATCCTCTGTTGTGTTAAAATGGGAAAAAAGGTAAGCTTTATTCTGAAACCAGGATTGAAAGAGAAGTTGAAGATATTTCTCTGTGGCTGGAAATATGGCACAGCTGAGGAAGAAAAATGCCTAGTGTTTCCCTTACCATATTTTTGTAGTATTGTCAGTACTTTCACTGTTCTTTCTCCTTAGTCAGCTGACCTTCAAGAAGTCATGTTTACGGCTCTCATAAAGGACAGACCCAAGTTCGTCCGCCTCTTTCTGGAGAACGGCTTGAACCTGCGGAAGTTTCTCACCCACGATGTCCTCACTGAGCTCTTCTCCAACCACTTCAGCACGCTTGTGTACCGGAATCTGCAGATCGCCAAGAATTCCTATAATGATGCCCTCCTCACGTTTGTCTGGAAACTAGTTGCAAACTTCCGAAGAGGTTTCCGGAAGGAAGACAGAAATGGTCGGGATGAGATGGACATAGAATTCCATGTAGGTACTGGGAGAGTTGCCTGCTTGAATTCTCAGATATTTTGAGGCTTCTCTCATAAGAGATCTCCATTTTCCCTACTCCCTATCTTATTGCCATAAAGTACTTAACACGTTGACATGGTTCATTTTTTCAACTCCCTTTACTTAAGATAAGGCATCTGTCCATAGGGTGAATCTCTGCTATTTCTGATGTCTTGCTTTATGCTCTATACTATACTATATTTCAGACTAGCTGCAATTTTTCTTTTTGCTTTTTGAGATAGAGTCTCGCTCTGTCACCCAGGCTGGTGTGCAGTGGCCTAATCTCAGCTCACTATCACCCCCGCCTCCTGGGTTCAAGCAATTCTCCTGCCTCAGCCTTCTGAGTAGCAGGGATTACAGGCGTGTGCCACCATGCCTGGCTAATTTTTCTATTTTTAGTAGAGATGCAGTTTCACCATGTTGGCCAGGCTAGTCTCGAACTCTGACCCCAGGTGATTTGCCCACTTCAGTCTCCCAAGTGTTGGGATTACAGGCATGAACCACCATGCCCGGTCTCAGTTTTCCTTAATTGCAGAACTTGGTGTGGTATACTTTCTGAAGATATCTAACAGGGAATAGGGGCAAACATATGGCTGCATGCTCATGTTGTAGACCACTGGCCATGATCTGCTTGCTGCCCATGCGTGTGAAGCAATGAAGAACTCACAAGTCTTCTTTTGCGAGTAAAGGTGGAAGTGCATATTTCCAAAGGGCTAAATCTGCATATTCACTTGAGACAATTTTGTGGCTGTAACACCTATAACCCTTCAGGACTTCTCATTTTAAGTATAGGAAGCCCTGGTTTCCAGTTGGCGGCACCTGCAACTCTTTGCTGAAAGTTTGTCCTGATCAGAGCCCAATGACTGTCAGCAGGTAGTGTATATGCACCCCCACTTGAAGGAGCTGACTAAGATTTGTGCTCTACTCTGGCTACTAGAGTTGGCTAGTGGAGCTAATCTCTAGTTACCCATCAAGATAATTTGCTTGATAATGCACCTTGTTTTGGGTTCCCATTTTTCTGTTATCATTTCCTCACTTCTCTATTGGTTTTCTTGAGGTCATGTCCCACATACACTACTTGTCTCAAATCCTTGTCTCAGATTTCTTCTGGGGAAACCCAAACTAGGTCATTATCTTTTGTCATTATGGGATTTTTGGAGTGTATGTGTGTTGCAAAAATCTAAATGCACTAGATGCTTGCGGTACTTGGAAGTGTTTAAAGAGCCTCTGTTCGACTATATTCATGTTAGATTTCTCTGCAACATGCATATTAGGCCTCATGCATTCTATACCTTGGTAAAACCTGTAAGGAAGTTGAAAGGAATATATTATATAAAAACACTCAGTTGTTTTCTATCTGAAAATTTTCCCTAGAATGCTGAATAGGAGCTGGGATTCTTTTTTTTCCAGACAGAGTCTCGCTCTGTTGCCCAGGCTGGATTGCAGTGGCGCGATCTCCACTCACTGTATTCTCTGCCTCCTCTTGGGTTCAAGTGATTCCCCTGCCTCAGCCTCCCGAGTAGCTGGGACTACAGGCACACACTACCATACCTGGCTAATTTTTTGTATTTTAGTAGAGACAGGGTTTCATCATGTTGGCCAGGATGGTCTCAATCTCTTTACCTGGTGATCCGCCTGCCTCGGCCTCCCAAAGTGCTGGGATTATGGGCGTGAGCCATTGAGCCTGGCCAGGAGCTGGGATTCTAATTGCTATGTTAGGCATTGAAAACAAGCCACGGTTTTATGTTGCGATAATTGAACTTAAGCCATGGGAAAGTTGGAATGTAGTTTGAAGAATTCTTTTCTAGAATAGAAACAGAGTTACCTGATGAGGAGGAATTGCTTTCTCTCAGCCTGTCAGCAGTCATTCAGTTTTCAAATTGCTCTCAACACTTTTTTCACCCTGTATACCTTTTCATCTAGTTGTACTTTGTCTTTTATGACAGATAAAAGATTTGGTGTCAAAATTAGACCACCCAATGGTTGCAGAGATAAAAATCACATCACTGCACTGTGAAAATGGAGTCATGCACAAAGCCACAGAGCCCTCCAGATGCCACTCTCCTAGGGCTTCCTGACCCCAGAACAATTTCCATTTGCACGCGCTGACCACATGCTCTAACCCCCCAGGATGTGTCTCCTATCACTCGGCACCCCCTGCAAGCTCTCTTCATCTGGGCCATTCTCCAGAACAAGAAGGAACTCTCCAAAGTCATTTGGGAGCAGGTAAGGGCCCAAGCCCACAGCAGATTTACATCAAATGTATGCTTTGCTATAACAGTTAGGATCCTCTCAAAATTCACATGCCTAATATAAAATATCACCAGCGAAATGGGATGTCTGAGGTTAGATGAACACGGCCGTGCTTCTGTTCCATGTTGGTGAAGGAGTGCTTGGGAAGGGCAGTCCCTGGATAATACCCAGGCTTGGTGGGGAGTCCAGCAGGCACCTGCTTCTCAGGTGTGTGGGTGTGTGATTGTTTTCCAAGTGGATGAGGTATTCATTTTTGATATTTCTTTTAAATTTTACTTTAGGTTCTGGGGTACATGTGCAGGTCATGCAGGGTTGTTGCATAGGTGCATACATAGCCAGGTGATTTGCTGCCTCTATTCCCTCTTCATCTATATCTGGCATTTCTCCCCATGTTATCCCTCCCCACTCCCCACCCCGCTGTCCCTCCCCTAGCCCCCTGCCACTGCCCCCGGTGTGTGATGCTCCTCTTCCTGAGTCCATGTGTTCTCATTGTTCAACACCCACCTACGAATGAGAACATGGTGTTTGGTTTTCTGTTCTTGTGTCAGTTTGCTGAGAGTGATGGTTTCCAGATTCATCTAAGTCCCTACAAAGGACACGAACTCATCATTTTTTTATGGCTGCGTAGTATTCCATGGTGTATATGTGCCACGTTTTCTTTGTCCAGTCTATCATTGATGGGCATTTGGGTTGGTTCCAGGTCTTTGCTATTGTACACAGGGCCACAATGAACATACCTGTGTATGTGTTTTTATAATAGAACAATTTCTAATCCTTTGGGTATGTACCCAGCAATGGGATTGCTAGGTCAAATGGAATTTCTATTTCTAGATCCTTGAGAAATCACCACACTGTCTTCCACAATGGTTGAACTAATCTACACTCCCACCAACAGTGTAAAAGTGTTCCTATTTCTCCACATCCTCTCCATCATCTGTTGTCTGCAGATTTTTTAATGATTGCCCTTCTAACTGGCACGAGATGGTATCTCAATGTGGTTTTGATTTGCATTTCTCTAATGACCAGTGATGATGAGCATTTTTTCATATGTTTGTTGGCCTCATATATGTCTTCTTTTGAAAAGTGTCTGTTCATATCCTTTGCCCACTTTTGAATGGGTTTGTTTGTTTTTTTCTTGTATATCTGTTTTAGATCTTTGTAGATTCTGGATATTAGCCCTTTGACAGATGGGTAGATTGCAAAAATTTTCTCCCATTCTGTTGGTTGTCTATTGATTGTTTCTTTGGCTGTACAGAAGCTCTGAAGTTTGATTTTAAAAATGAATTTCCAGCTTCATCGCATTATGGACGGGAAGTAGGGCCTGTAAAAATTCTGCTTTGGAAAGTCTATTGAGAATTTTCCTTGTGATTTAGCATGTAAAATCTTCTGTAAATGGTTTATGGACACTCATATTACCTTATTTTTAGAGGAAAGCTTAGATATTGAATACTGAATTCACACACTCAATCTTAAAGTGACACTGTTCAGGTGTTCTGTGTTCTTGTCCAGGACTTCCTCAACCTCTGAGCTGTTCCAGTATGAGAGTGATCAGACTTCCCACTATCATGGTCTTACTGTCAGTTTCTCATGGCATTTATCTTAATATTTTTATGTGCTAATTCTATGTTCAAGACTGTGAACGTATTCAGGTTCCAAGTTATTTCGTGCTCATTAAAAATTTTACTTTGAATTATTATGAATAGTTCCTAGGTTGGGTTTAGGGCTTCCTGACTCCAGAGCAATTTTCATTTGTACATGCCAACCATATGCTCTAACCCCATCCATCAAATAGATTCTATTTCCTGCTTTGCCATGAATACATTTTTGTCGGACATTAACGTTGACTTGACCACTTCAGGGGATTAAGAATAAAACTTAAAATTCTCCATCCCTCCCCTAAAAAAAGACCAGGGGCTGCACTCTGGCAGCTCTGGGAGCCAGCAAGCTTCTGAAGACTCTGGCCAAAGTGAAGAATGACATCAATGCTGCTGGGGAGTCCGAGGAGCTGGCTAATGAGTACGAGACCCGGGCGGTCGGTGAGTCCCCAGTGCTGGGATGCCTCGGTGGGCATGGATCTGCCATATGGCAAAGACATTGCCAGTGGCACTCACAGGCCAGGTGGTGGAGGTCTGTGGCATGCCTGAGCTCCCCTGCCTGATGGAGGGCTGCAGTCCACGGACTACAGTTCTGGGTGCACGGGCCACAAGCTCCTTGGTCCTGGCACATATGGAATTTTCCAAGACGGAACATGGGACATTTTGGGCTCTCTGATCCCATGGCCACCCAGGACCACACCCAGGCCAAGTTCTAAGCAACTCAGGAAGCTTTGGAGTATCTTTTGTTTGTTTGTTTTGGGGTTTTTTGGATGATGTTACAACACTGTGACAGGGCTGAGATTTTACCTGACTTGCACCCTAACCAGTTAGCCTGCCAGTTTCACACACACACACACACACACACTGCCAGACGACCCAGCCTCTGGGTCTGCGACACTCATGGTTTGTTATGGGAAAGGCAGCAGCTTGAGTAGCATCTTGGGTTGCTTCCCCTTGCCTCGGTTCCCAAGGGATAGCTGGAATAATGGTTGCCCTGCAGCGCCCTGAAGTTAGGAGACAAGGAGTTTCTATCAGGGCTGCAGCTGAGATTACTTATTGCCTGGAGTGGACAATTCTCCACTAAGCATTACTCTCCTAGCATGTCTCAGGACGCCTGACTGCTATTTGCCATTCAGTCCTCAAACAAAGTTTGTCAATGCCCTTTGTGCAGAGACCCTGATCATTTAGGAAGGTGAGCAATCCGGAGCCCATTGCTTCTAAACAACGGAGAGTTTCAGACCTGCTCAGTTTTTTTTCCATTTTCACTTGATGGTTTTAAGTTTGCAACGTGGTATTTGCATCCAGGTTTGTTCAGTGTCTTACTGAAAGCAAACATGCTGATGAGTTTAGCTTCTCTGTTTTGGAAAAAGGTGTCTAATTATTTCTTTTCATTTATAAAAATTCAAAGCAGTTCATTTCTGGATGACCTCAATTAGGCAAAGGCTCCTAATATTTTTACTTTTAAAAAATTTCCTCTGAGGATCTACATTGCAATTTCTTTGTCATTAGGTCACGAAATGTAAGCACACACTGATGCAATGGGTCAGTGTTTCTTACACTTTCTTTTCCCTCTCGGTGCCTTATCTGCAAAGGAAGCTTGCCAAGATGGCATAGAACTGAATGAGATGGAGGAAGGGCTGCTATGGTTATGGGGGAGTCAGGATGGGGGTGCAGAGGGTCTAGATCTCTTCTCAGTGGCTGAGGCGCTTCTGCCTGAGCCCAGACAGAAGCCCACTAACGAGAGGGTCTCCCTGTGTCCAATGCAGCTCAATTCAATGAGCAGTTACTGTCACCTGCTACCATCAGGAGCTCTGCTGGGTTTGTCGTGCCTTTAGAAAATCCTCTTATTCAGTAAGGCATTGTGTTGTGATGGCATTTTTTATGACTTTTGTAAGAATGGACTCACACCCAGGCTATTCTTAGATTCAGGGGTTGGCTGGGGGTGGAAGCGGGACAGTTTCAGACATGTGCAGCCCTGACGCCAGCTTCTCTCTGTGCTGATGTCGCTGTAGAGCTGTTCACCGAGTGTTACAGCAGCGATGAAGACTTGGCAGAACAGCTGCTGGTCTATTCCTGTGAAGCTTGGGGTGGAAGCAACTGTCTGGAGCTGGCGGTGGAGGCCACAGACCAGCATTTCATCGCCCAGCCCGGGGTCCAGGTAAACCATGCTCAGCCACCAAACCACATGCTCAGAAATGGGCCTCTTATGTCAGGTGCTACTAGCAGCATTAAAAAAATATTAAAAATGAACCTTATTCTCCAATATAAAAGTCATAGAAGGAGTAGTTTGGTGATGATGTGGGAGATGGCAGAGCATAGGCATTGGTTGAAAGCCTTGCTTTAAGAGGTGGTGCAGGACAAAGAATATTCTTTGAGTTTCCACTTAGCAAACATCACAGCTTCATAATTATGAGCTGTGCCTCTGGATCCCACTGCCTGGGTCTCCATCAGTTGTGCCCCTAATGAAGTGTGTGATGATGGGCCATGTTACAGGAGCTCTCTGAGTCTTTGTTTCCTCATCTGTAAAATAGGAAGGTAGCAGATAGAGGGCTATGGTGAGGATTTAAGGAGATAACATGTGAAAGGTATTGGTCCTTTCTTTAGCTTTTACTATTGCAGTTATTATTGTCGGTGACAGCAGTAGGAAAACTCTTGTGAAATGGGTAACACCAGTCTAGAGGTTTCTGCACTGAACTGAATGAATAGTGGTTTGCACCTCGTGTCTCAGGCCACAGAGGGGAGCTTTTCACCCTCGGTTCCAGTTGTAGAAGAGCGAAAGGGAGAGGGATGGGAAGATATGGAGGGACCAGTGCTCGTCAGCCACACCTGTAACACACAAGGCCACGTTTCATCTTCACATCACATGTGGCGATGGGTGTTATCCCATTTCACCAAGGAGGATGCAGGAGCTCAGAGAGGTTCTGGAATGTCCTCTTAGCTTGCATTGCTGGGAAGTAGCAGCACTGGGATTGGATCTCATGTTGATTACCTGCAACTTTCATGTCATGGACTTTCCGTTATGTCATACAGCAAAGTGTTTATCAACAAAATTCATTTGCTACTGCAACTGAGCCAGACTGAATGAGAGCAGTGATCTGTGGCAAGGAGCACACAGAGAGGGTCTTGCTATTGCTCAGTTTTAGCCTCTGCTGCAGTGTAGTGTGGTAAGGCTGGTGCTGGGGCTGCGGTGTGCCTGGGAGGCTGGGCTGGCTGCCCAGCCCAGGTGGGCCCCACCCTGCTCATGCCTTCCTGGGCCCCAAACTCCATCTTGCCTGTGTCCCAGAACTTGGCGCCCTTTGGAGGCTGGCTTTTACTCCTGTCCAGGTTCATAGATCGTTTCAATCAGATGTCAGGTCATTCATCTCACTGAAAATCTCACTACCAGGCCACAGGACCATCCAGGTCCATCCATCACAGGACAGCCAGGGAGTTCCTATAGTCAGGCTGCTGTGTGTGATCAGAATACTGCTGGTAACCATGGAACCCAATCCAATGCTGTTACTTTCTGTGACTGAGGCCTGTCAGTGACACTCAGTGATGGCCTGGCATGTGCATCACCTCAGAAGAATAGGAGGGTGAGGAAGACTAAGCACTACCTGTCTCTTGCCCACGACCCCTGCACCCCCTCCCAAGAAGCAGACCTCAAAGTGAGGATTTTAATGCTAGGAGTTTATTCTGGAGGTGAGCCTGGGAAGCACAGGAGGCAGCAGTGAGACAGGGAAGGGACAGGGACAGACACGATGTGCTGATGAGGAGGTTGCCACTGTGGGCAGCCGAGGCTTGACCCGCCAGGGACCTCTGGGAAACTGTAGAACCTGCTTCAGTGTTACCTGGCCCAGTGCAAGGCAGCCAGCCATTTACCCCCCAAATGCAATTGGTTGTTTGTTGAAAGCTGCTCCTGGGCGCCTTGTTCCAGGATGCTAGTCCTCATGGGCCAAACACGTGCCTGACGGAAGCGGCCCCGGGCAGGGGTCCTCAGAAGCAGCCATCCTCCTCCAAGGGACAGGGCAGGTGTCCAGGGCCGGAGGGGTGCATGCCAGTCCCAGCCCTCTCAGACAGCACTGAGAAGGCCTTGGATTTCCCTTTTCCTCTGCTCCCGAGACACACCAACCTCTGTCTGCCTGATGGGCTATTTTTTTTGAGATATGGGTCCTTTGATGTGGTCGGGTCTATGCTCCCCTGCTGGCTTTCAGAGCAGCTGTGAGTTTTCTAATTTCCACCTTCGTGGAAGTCCCTTCTGTGCCAATGTCAGGGGTTGATACAGTCTGGGGAGAGGTTTTTCATGCATTTCAGCCTGAATTGATGTGAAGACACCAGCAGTCTCCCCCTTCCCATCTTCCTTTTAGTTTCCTGACAAAAGCATCACCTGTCTTTCTCCAGAAATGAATCCTTGGGGACCCTACAGGTAGTATTGATTGGCTGTGCCTGTGAATTTCTGATCCCTGAAGACAAAGGAGCCAGAAAGACACTTGTTTAAACTTCTGTAATAAAAATGCGAGTTGGATAAAAATTACTAGGCTTATTGAAATTGAACGTACACAACTATTACTTTAAAGTGCACATAATCCAACTCAGAAAACAACTTAAAATACAACCAACTTTTGAATTGTTTTAATCACTGCCCCTTAGAATGCAGGCAGTGGGTATAAAAGAATAAGGACCTTAATTCAAAAAGCTGTATATTTTGGGGAAAGTGTGGGGCAGGGGAGAAAGTTTGCATGCTATCCTGCATATAATCATGTTAATAAGGACCTTGTTCTCTGTCTTTGTTTCCCTGTAGAATTTTCTTTCTAAGCAATGGTATGGAGAGATTTCCAGAGACACGAAGAATTGGAAGATTATCCTGTGTCTGTTTATTATACCCTTGGTGGGCTGTGGCTTTGTATCATTTAGGTACAGACCAAGGCACATAACTGTGTGTGAGTGTGTGTGCCAGTGTGTGTATGTGCATCCACATGTGTGTGCTCTTGTGTAAATGATTACAAATCCTGGAACTTATGATGCTCACATTGGTGCCTATGCATTTCTTCTCGTATCTCCCCCGACTTTTCCTGGCTTTCCTCTTAAGTGGGTAGAGGTGGGGTTGTGTCTTTAATATCTAGGGCAGAATTTGGATTTGTTAATTGCAAAATGCTGAGGATTGAATTGGGGTTGGGTCCATCTTAGGACACAGTTTTGATCCCTTGTCTTCCTCCTGGCTATGGGTCTGCATTTACCTATGTCTGGAAGGAGGGGAGAGTGGTGCCCGTCCCATGCTTGCAAGGACACTGACGATGCGCTTACCTCTGGGTCCAGGAAGAAGCCTGTCGATAAGCACAAGAAGCTGCTTTGGTACTACGTGGCGTTCTTCACCTCCCCCTTCGTGGTCTTCTCCTGGAACGTGGTCTTCTACATCGCCTTCCTCCTGCTATTTGCCTATGTGCTGCTCATGGATTTCCATTCGGTGCCGCACCCCCCTGAGCTGGTCCTGTACGCGCTGGTCTTTGTCCTCCTCTGTGATGAAGTGAGACAGGTAGGACGGCCATGACAGCGGGAACCCCCTTGCTTCCTCTGTGGGAGGCATCTTTCTAAAGCCGAGAGGAGTGGAAGTTGCTTCTAATGTTCAAAAGTCAGCATTTTCCCAAAATAAATGTTCTAGTTAGGTGCTAGTCCATGAGGATGAAGGTGCATTTTCACACCTTAGTAATTCAATAAGATCTCCTAGTACCAAGTTTACTCTTTGCTCTCTCATGGATGCTGATGGATAGAGATGAATTAGTCAGGAATGGGTCATGTTTGAAGAGAAGAGAGACCCTGGATGGTGAACCCAGTGCCGTCATCAGGAGTGGTTCGTGTTCCTGCCGTTACCGTGATGAGTGGCGGGGAGCTGGCAGGACTTTTGAGCTAAGAGCATCTTAATGCACAGCATGTCAGAGTGACGATGTTTAAGTCATGTAACTCCCTGCGGGCTTCAGGGAGCTGGTGTGAATTATTCATGGTGCTTTTCTGCGGTTTCTTGGACCTTCATTTTTTGCCATCCTTTCTCTACCGTCGAATCCGTAACTTTACCTCAGGTCTCATGTGCAGCAGGTGCGCGGTTCGTAATTGTTGAAGAAACAAATGTTGATGATGAAGGATGTGTTATCCCAAAACCATTATGAAAAGTCATCCCAGGAAATCCTTTCACACTTAGCAGTTTATAAATGGTTTGAGAACTGCTGTTGCTGTCACTATCGTCCCCTCTAAGCCTCAACGCAAAAATATGTCAGCTCAGCAAATGTGTGCTCGGTACTTACAGTTTCCAAGGTACAACACCACATGCTACAAGGGATCTGGGCGATGAATCTGCTGTTCTTGCCCTTACAGAGTCACTGACTCTTATAAGAATCCTAAGTTCGCTTAAACTTTCATGCCAAGGCTGACAGACATTTTTTTGGTGACTTCTAGCACTCCTGGTTAAGAAGGATTCCAATGGTCTGTCTGTCCTTAGTGGGAGAGTGTTTTGATCAATTAGTGATGTCTGCCGTGGGTGTGACCTGTGGGAAAAGTCCTGGACTGGTGCCCTGTATCTGCCTTTCCTTGCCCAGTAGGTCTGGGGTGCAGATGGGGAATGGAGCTGGGGTGGTGGTGGAGGAAGCATAAGTTAAATGACTCATGTCAGTGTTGAACAGCAGGATTATCGGGCCTTTACCTACCAGCAACTCTTCCCCGAGGACAGGGCCCTGCTATGTGCAGGGGATTTCCCTGACTTTGCATCAGACCCATGAGAGTCCATACACTGCCCTGGGAAGTCACCACCCCGTCCAGGCCATGCCCTCAGTGTTAGTCTGCAGGGCTGCCATGATGAAGCATCGTAGACCACAAGGCTTAAATAACAGAAATTCATTGCCTTATGACTCTAGGGGCCAGATATCTGAGCTCAAGCTGTCGGCAGAGCTGGCTCCCTCTGAAGGCTGTGCAGGAGTCTGTCCTGGCCTCTCCTCTGGCTTCTGACAGCCAGCTGGAGTGCTTCACTGTTCCCTGGCTTGTCAATGTATCACTCTGGTCCCTGTCCTCATGTGTGGCTCCTGCGTGAGTGATTGTGTCCAATTTTCCGCTCTTCCTGAGGACATTGGTTGTCCTGGATCAGGGGCCACTCTGCTTCAGCATTACTTCCTCTTTACTTAATTCATTATGTCTGCAATGACCGTGTTTCCAAACAGTGTCGTAGGTAAGGTACTGAGGTTTAGGGCCCCCATGTTTGAATTTTCAGAGACACAATTTAACCTACGAGTCTCTTTCTTTTAGCTGCTGTGTATGTGTCAGCAGCAGCGAGGGGATGGACATATTCTGTTTGAGGGAAGCAGAGAAAGACCGAAGGAGAGTCAGCATTTAAAACAGGGTGGGCCCAGAGCAGAGTGAGAAAGTGAGAGAAGCAACCCTCATCCAGCTAGGAGCCTTGGAGCCACGGTCCGGGTGCTCACTCTGGATGAGGTCCCTCGTTTTCCCTTCTCCTGAGCTGGCCTGGTTTCCTTCACTCTCACTTGTAGTTGACCACGGCTGAGACCCTTTTCAAAGGCACTTCATGGAGAAAAAGATGGCATCCTCAGGTTAGCTTTTGCAAGAGGGAGGGGCTGAAAGAGTGAGATTGGGGGCTTTGTGGCACTGGAGAAGGAAGAGCCCCAACACTGCACCTCTTACCCCCTCTGAGGGGCTGGCTGATGTTTTGTCATCTTGACTGGGAAAGACTGGGACAGTGCCTGCCCCAAGACTGGAGTAAGTGCCAACGGGTTTTGACTGGTCTGTGGAAATTGGTAGCCTTGGAGGGTGGCCCGCTGGTTGGCAGGCCTTTTCTGGCACAGCCCACTGGAGAGGCAGCTGGACCACCTGGGAGATCACATAGGCCTCCAACCCTTGGTGACTCACAGGCAGGAATCTGAGCTCTATGGGGGCAGCAGAGTTTGCCAGAAGAGGCACGGGGTCTGTAGGAACTGGGGCAGCACACCGCATGACCCAGGTGACCAGCCTGACATCTCAAAGGCAGCCAATGAACAGAATTGAGTGACGAAGCATTCATAGCCTGGTGGGGAAATGAGTCATGAGCACAAATAAGCAGAGAGACAGAGAGAGAGAGAGAGAGAGAGAGAGAGAGAGAGAGAGAGAGAGAGAGAGAGAGAGAGAGAGAGAGGGGAGAGAGAGAGACAGAGAAAGAGACAGACAGAGGAGAGAAATATGGAGGTGGGGAGGGAGAAAAAAACCAGCTGGAATTGCAAATGGCTGGTACAGTAGTAACTTACTGAATTTTTAAGATCTGCAAGAGGTTATTTAGAGAATAAGAGGATGGAGGCCTGGCATGGTGCCCTAGTGCCTCTCTTCTTGCATCAACTCCACTGAGAGGTTCCTTTGAGCTTTTTCAGCTCCTAACACAGACTCTGTTGTTGCTCAGAATTGCGTGGCATGGGAATGATTTGATTTGGATGTTTATTTCTTATTCATTTGGTCCCTGGGGGCTAGCACAGGAGCTGGCACTGACATGTTTCTGACAAGCCTGTGTGTTTTTAGTAAATGCATTGATAAAGCAAGGTCTTCATAATTCAACCCAAGAGCTGTGTGCCCTGGGGTGGCCATGGTAACACTCAGGAGACCAGCGCTGGGGAGCTGGAGAGGAACCCTGCCCACCACCCCACATGCAGGTGCTCAAGGGTGTTCTCTGGGGCAGAGGACTCTTCTCAGAATGGTTACTGAAAAGTCAAACTTTTTTTCTGCTACTTTTTACCCCTCATGCTCCCAAACATTTCTCTACCTGTCCCTGACCCTGCTTCCCGTGCTGCATTAAGGCACAGAAGCTGCTGCTGTGCAAGTCCAGACATTGTTTGACTCCTTCAGGCATCTAAAGAAACTGGGGGCCTGGTACAGTGGCTCACGCCTGTTATCTCAGCACTTTGGGAGGCTGAGGCAGGTGGATCACATGAGGTCAGGAGTTCGAGACCAGCCTGGTCAACATGGCGAAACCTCATCTCTACTCAAAATACAAAAATTAGTCGGCCATGGTGGTGTGCCCCTGTAATCCCAGCTACTCTGGAGGTTGAGGCAGTAGAATCATTTGAACTCTGGAGAAAGGTTGCAGTGAGCCAAGATCGCACCACTGCACTCCAGCCTGGGTGACAGAGTAAGACTCCTTCTTTAAAAAAAGAAGAAAAAACAAAAGAAATCAGGAAGCCGAGAGAGAGGACTTGTCGTGGGTTGCTTTGGAAGGCAGACGTTGGCCTGGATGGAAGCTGCAGGGAGATTTGTCTTGACTTCATCCAAATATTTCATTCCTGCATTCTTCCTCTTAACAGAGATTTCACCCCGACTTTGGGCCAGACACTGTTCTAGACAGCAGTGGACCAAACAGACAAGATCTCCTCCCCTATGGAGAATTCTACCAGTTTGTGATGATTTCCAGCAGCTTTCAAGGAGAGGAGATGAGCATCAGCAAGCAGCACTAAGTGGGCAAGTCTAACATTTAGTGGGAGGTTGGCCCAGAGGACCTGCAGTAGTAAAATCTGAAGTCTGTCAATCTCAGACATCTCTGTACCAATTTCCTATGTGCATTTAGCTACTAAGTCACCTGTTTGGGTCATGAAGGAGGGGACTCAGGAGAGGTACATTTTCCTTGGAGAAAGGTCCTAGGCAGGGTTAGCATGAAGTGGTTTTGCTCAGAGAGGGCACAGGGCAGGGACAGGGAGTGGGAGTAGACAGGGGGAGGTGCACAGGAGCACTGGGAAGGACACTGGGCTGTGAGTAATTCCTGGGGCCTGGGGGAGGAAGGGAGGACAATTGGGTCCGGCTGAGCCGCCACCTAATCTGTCTGCCTTCATCATGGGTGACATTGGATATGGGGGGATGCTTACTAAGTATCTCTTTTTGTTCTTTTTAACAACTATCTTGGAATGGGCCACTTTTAATTCAGCAATTCTAGGTATGAAAGCAACAGTATGGGAAGCACCCTGTGCTTAGGGTCAGCACAGGGTGCTTCCCATACTGATAATTGTTAAAAAGCCACCCTGTCCTCCAGGGTGACTTGGTATCCGAGGGCTTTACCAGCCTTACAGTGAGCATTCTGTGACATGAACGGGTCTGTAGAACATAACCATGGAGATTCTCATCGTTAAAAGAATCCGACACTCGGGGTCGCTGTTTCTCTTCTGGTCTTCACACTCATGCATTTGACATCCTAAATGGGATTGTTTTCCTCTAAGAAACAGTTCTGCTGGCCTGGTGCTGTCTTAATTAACCCAGTTCACACTTGCTAGGGAAAAAAACCCAAGCAGGGTGTTACCTGATTTAGATTGTGTCTGGGTGTCAAAAATCCGTGCTCTTTTGTGTGTACCGGTGTCCCTTTGCCTGAATGCAGATGTCGAAATGCTAATTTGGAATTTTGAAACAGGCAGTCAATAAGTGCAAATACAGTTGCTAAATAATCCTTGCGTCCCTTAAATGGACATTGGGGATGTTTATTTAAAATGGGACAAGTGTCATCATGCCTTCACGGAGGGCACCATTCAATCTTGAGGCATGTCAAATCCCCAAATCCTGACAGATATGCTGAAATACGATCCTGGGATTTTATGATACAGCCTATCACTGGCATTCTGCTCAGAGAAGAGGCTTCTTTTCCTTTAAAAACATGTCTTCTTCCTGCGATGGTACCTTGGAGGCTCAGAATTGACCTATCTCAGATGTCTCTCTTTGCATAGGCTAGGCTTCTGAAAGTCTCCTGGGCTGAGGTTGGGCTGAGGGCAGTGCAAGTCTCCCAGTGCCTACCTGCCTCCCAGACCAGGGCATTAAGTGGGGAGTTAGTAGCAGGGAGGGCCTTTCCCAGTCCCCCATATCTTACCAGGCACCAGGAGAGCAAATGGTTGTTGGTGAGTGGTAGTCCGGGCTGCTAGCACCAGCCAAGTGGATAGTTCCTGTGGCTTCCCCCAGGGAGCCTGCCTTGGTTTCTGAGCCTAGGCAGAATGTTTGAACTTAGTAATTATGGTGACAAGAATGTTGACAATACATTAAGAGATAGAAACGAGGTGGACTCCCTAGTTGAATTTTGTCATTGATCGCTGAGGAATTAGCAGATCTCTTGTTCTTTGTTACCGTCCTGAGGTGATAATAATGGTTATTGGCAGAGACCATTGTAATACAAATAAAAATATCCAATGCATTTTAGCCATATGGCAAGATGTATCTGTTTCACGTCAATTTTTGTTCATTTTTATTTTATTTAGTTTTATAAAATCACAAAGTAATAAAGATTGTCACAAGTGGGACTATCTACAGAATTATCGTGCCCGATCTAGAGTATAATCTTCCACAACCTTCTTCACGCCCAGAAAGATATGAACGTATGCAGGTGTTTCATTTGTTTTTAACCAAATATAATCATACTGTGTTCATCACCCTACAGTTTGCTTTTTTTTTCAGAATTTCTCATGGGCTTTCCTACAAGTTAATCTTAGACATAAATTTCTTTTTTAGCCTAGTTTCTTGTAAACAAACGTATTTCACAGAAATGGAATATCATATTGTGTGTGTGTGTGTGTGTGCGTGTGTGTGTGTGTGTGTGTGTGTGCTTTTTAAGTTCAGCCTTTTTTGTTAGTCTCTGTACAGACTTTCTCATTCTTTACTCTAAAGACAAGGTCTCTCAAGATACATTAATAAACCACTGTGTCTCTTTCTGCTTTTATCTGGTCCATGTGCTATGCACACACTGTGTTACATCAAATCTGAGATGTCATTTTTTTCACATTTTAACATCTCTGGGACTGCAATTTCTTACAACCTGAGATTTAATGAAATAAGGTAGGCATATATATGTTCATGAGCTTTTACCTTCATTCTTTGTTTTATAAAAACAAGATTCTGTTTCCCATACTTTTCTGCATTTTGCTTTCTCTTTTACTTTGTGGAAATCTCTCCAAGAAACTGACATCACTCTGTTCCTTTTTAAAAACACGATTGTAATATATTCAATGTTCCTTTAATGATAGACTACATCTTTTTCCTAGATTATGCTTTTCCATGCAACCAAAATGCTGCAATAGATATCTTATGCACTGATTTTAAAAAAAGTGTTTAGTCTTCACACAGTGAGTGGACTGTTGACACACCCCATGGCACTGCTCCCACCTGGGGGATTTTCACATTTCCTGAGTACTTGATTTCATAGTGCCCTCAGCCTCTTGGCCTACTCAACTTACTATTCGAGTTTACAAATGAAGGAAAGGAAATGCATCTTGAGAAATTAATGATGTGTCTTGAATCCCTTCCACATCTGAGATTGTCGGATCTCTGTGGGCTCTGAAGCGGAGTGATGTGGGGGAAGCAACTGACAGGCTCAGAACTGTGAGGTCTGCCACTTGCTGAGCAAGTTCCTTGGCCTCCCTAGGCCGTGGTTTCAGCAGCAAAGTAGGAAATCTAATATCTGAATATCAGACGGGCTCCTGTTGGTGAGTTCATTCAGTAAAATGAAGAAGTACCATGTTGTTTTAGTGACGTTTCTTTGGTGTTGTTTCTTCTGCCTTGCACAAGTAGCGTTTCCTCACTTGAATTCACTTGGGGCCTCGGTCTTATCCTCATGCCAGTTTTCATGCATTTCTTGTAAACCTGTTTGACATCTGTCTTTCCCACGAGACGGTAGATTCCTCGAGAATTAGCATTGCACCTAATCCAGTGTTTCTGCGCTCTGGGAGCCTGGCATAGGTGTTTGGAATTCCATGTGCCCTCAGTAAATATATTTTTAATGGTTGGACAAATAAAAGGATTAGCTGGCTACCCTGAAATTACCAAAATCTAGTTTATGGATTGAAATAGGAGCCATCCAGATGTGGTCTTCTTTCCCTCTTCAGGAAAACGAGAAAAGAGAAAGGATACTCTGTCTGTTTCAGTGTTTTCCTGACATACTTTCTTCTGAAAAATCGTGACTGGTACATACAAATGGGTCCCTGAGGCACGCTGTTCCTGTCAGTCATTTCTGTGACCACATCTGTTCTCGTAGATGTTATATACAGCACCTATGTGCAGTTTTTAAAAAAAAGATTTCTTTTAATCAAGATGTTTTACTGCCATGTGCCAGAAAAGTGTTACCGTAACTACGTAAATCTATGACAACGATATGAATAATACCCTCTAGGATCGTGTAGTGCACAGCCTGTACCATTGTACATGGTGGCCGGAGAGTCTGCATTTGTCTACAGAGGTTGTACTCACCCTCTGCAGGTTCTGCTTTGGAAAACAGTGAGGATACATCAATCATTTTTCTTGACTTTGCCAGTAAGACATGAAGAACAGAACAGCCAGTAGGCAACCTACTTTCCAATCCTCCTGGATTAGCGTGGGGCACGTGGTAGGGCTCATTTGGCATATGAAAGAATAAACAAACACGTCATTGGCTCAAAAAGGACCTGGAAGAAAATGAGTGGACGTTTGAAAACCTGGAAGTGGTGGATGTTTCCGAGCGCTGATGTCCCTCTCTCTCCCTTTCTGTACGCAGTGGTACATAAATGGGGTGAATTATTTTACTGACCTGTGGAATGTTATGGACACGCTGGGGCTTTTTTACTTCATAGCAGGAATTGTATTTCGGTAAGTAGTGTCATCACTTTTCTCAATTTTTGGTGTTTTGACTATAAAAGTGGAGAAAAGCTCTGCAGACATTTCAAACCCAAGGGAACCCTATTGTATTTTGTTTTGCTTCCTCACTAGGGATTATACAAGGCCATTGTGTCTGCTTTTTAGAGATACAGCTTGGTTGGCATGAAGTTGAGTCTCCTCTCTTCCCCCTCCCAGTGATATATAATTTAAAGGGGTCCTGCATGATTTTTCTCTTTGTTCTTATGGCTTTGGGGATAATTTTTTTTAAGCAGAGACAAGGTTTCCTCGTGTTGCCCAGGCTGGTCTCAAACGCCTGGGCTCAAGCGATCCACCTGCCTCAACCTCCCAAAGTGTTGGGATTACAGGCATGAGCCATTGCACCTGGTCATGGGGAGAAATAAATAGAAATTGAGAAATGATACAGATTAGTGTATATAGATTTTGTATCCTGAGACTTTACTGAAGTTGTTTATCAGTTCCAGGAGCCTTTGGACAGAGTCTTTAGGGTTTTCTAGGTATAGACTCACATTATTGGTGAAGAGAGGTCATTTGGCTTCTTCTTTTCCTGTTTGGATGCCTTCTCTCCCTTTCTCTTGCCTGATTGCTCTGTCTAGGACTCCAGTACTATGTTGAATAGGAGTGGTGAGAGTGGACATCCTTGTCTGGTTCCCGTTATTAAGGGGAATGCCTCCAGCTTTTGCCCATTCAATATGACTTTGGCTGTGAATTTGTCATAGACGATTTCTATTATTTTGAAGTCTGCTCCTTCAATGCTTAGTTTGTTGAGGTTTTTCTTTAATTATGAAGGGATGTTGGTTTTTATTGAAAGCTTTTTCTGTAGCTATTGAGATGATCATATAGATTTTGTCTTTAATTCTGTTTATGTAGTGAATCACGATTATTGATTTGCATATGTTGAACCAACCCAGTAGTGAGCATAGTACCCAATAGGCAGTAAGCCTACCCAGTAGGTAGCCATGCCTTTCTCTTCCCCCCTTTTGGGGTTCCCAGTGTTTATTATTCCCATCTTTATGTCCATATATACTCAGTGTTTACCTCCCACTTATATGTGGTATTTGGTTTTCTGTTCCTGCATCAATTTGCTTAGCATAATGGCCCTGAGCTGCATCCATGTTCTTTTTTAGGGCTGTGTAGTATTCCACAGAGTGTATGTATCACAGTTTCTTTATCCAGTCTACCACTGATGGGCACCTAGGTTGGTTTCATGTCTTTGCTATTGTGAGTAGTGTAGCAATGTACATATGAATGCATGTGTCTTTTTGGTAGAACAACTTATTTTCTTTAGGTATGTACTCAGTAATGGGATTGCTGGCTTGAATGGTAGTTGAAACTATTTTAAAAAAAGGAAAAAATTGAGGAGAGGAGAGGATGCTGAGAATGTTAAATATCATACAGTATTGTTTCATGTTGGGCCATGTGATCTTCTAATATGCACTTAACTTTGATTTGAATGCTGGCTGTAAAGTCTGCCTTTGCAGTTACAAGAATAGTTCCTCAATGCCACAGCCAGAGTGTGGGATTAGGAAAACCAATCCCAAATAACCACCAAAAAACCAATGTGTATGCACGTCATAGAGACTAGGGTATGCCCCAAACCATGGCTTGCATTGCTTAGCCTGCAACCCAATTGGCCTGTCTTCTCCAGATAGCTTTTAAGATAAAGCTAGCAACTGGGCATGGTGGCTTATATCTGTAATCCCAAAACTTTGGGAGACTGAGGTGGGAGGATCGCTTGAGCCCAGGAGTTCGAGACCAGCCTGAGCAACATAGTGAGACCCTGTCTCAATGTTTAAAAAAGATAAAGCTAGTGATTATATATGAGTAGTACTTTCAGATGGCGTCACTTTGTAAAGAAGCTTAACCATTCATATTTACACTGATGCAAAATGAGATGATTTACAATGAGTGTTCATGCTCCAATTTGAATGGGGTAAAAATGTCAATTTCTTCTTCAGAGAGCCTCCCTTTCTGGTTGGGTTTAAGGTTCCAGCATTTGAGCCACAGTTGGTTGGACACAATTCTAGACCACTCTGGTTAGAAAGCACATATGGCTTTCAATGAGCACATTAGCAGGTGGTTAGCTAGTCAAATGATCTGGTGCAAATGAGGTAAGTTTCATTAGGGGAAAGCTGGCAGGGTGAAGTCCCAAGTGGCCATGGGGGTGGGCTGGGGATTGGCATCATTATAGAAGCCTTGTGAGCCAGGGAAGTTAGCAATAATGTAATTAGGATCCTGCAGCAGTGTGTGAAGGTGGCAAGCTAAAGAGATGGGAACCTCAGAGCTCAGTTTGGTGAGATGTCTTTGCTTTTCATGTCCTTGACTGTCCTTGAGTCCATGAAAGCAGAAGATCATGGCCTTTGCTGGGTGGCATTTCTGGCCCATTTTCACTCACTCAGCCTTCCAGCTCTTGCCTGTTTCTTGAAATTTGGTTATATTTAAAAACCAAACTTTGGAATGTTTGGTCAATATCTCATGAATTCTGTTCCCTCTTTTTCCCTAGGCTCCACTCTTCTAATAAAAGCTCTTTGTATTCTGGACGAGTCATTTTCTGTCTGGACTATATTATTTTCACTCTAAGATTGATCCACATTTTTACTGTAAGCAGGAATTTAGGACCCAAGATTATAATGCTGCAGAGGATGGTAAGAGTCAAGAATATTTGTAGTCATCATTTTTCTTGCTGGGCTCAGATTTCCTTTAGTTGTTGATGGGAGGATTTTGTCCTTAGAATGACTGTTGCATTTCACAATTGGTAACATTTGCTTTCTTTGATGTATTTCATCAGGGGCCTCTCCCAGGTTAAAATTTAATGAAAGGTGGTTGTGAGCAGCAAACATTGTCATTCGGTGCATTGCTAACAAATAACCTCACACTTATTTAGATTTTAGACTTCACAACATACTTTCATTTGAGTCTTGACAGTTTGCTAAGAGTGTAGGCAGGGAATGGATTTTTATAACAATTTTATACATGGGGATAGTTGAGTCCAAGGAGGACTATGCTTGTCTTGAGACAAGCAGTGAGCTAGATGCATGGGGATGATTGGAACCTGAATTATGCAACCATGTAATATAGATACAGGGAAAGGCTATAGCAGGCTTGTTATATACATGTAATAGAAAGAATTACATACAGATGGTGTTGCTTTCCTAAACTTGTTTTCCAGATGACTCAAACCACCACTGTTTCTGCCTTTAAATCAGATGGGCGTTTGGATGAGCTCATCTGGAAGCTCCTTTCCAACACCGAGGTTGAGTTTGTGGTTTTAATTCAAAGCATTTCTGGGACATCCAGTCATCATGAAGTCATGCTATGTGTGCACAAAATTAAAAAAAAAAATTAAACTGTCTTTTCTTGTCTAATAAGGATAGCTTTTATTTACCCAACAAACAAACAATGAAAATAATTTAGGGGTTAAAAGGGCATTAAAATAATGAGATATAGAGACAGAGAGGTCCTCCCAAACTTAGATTCCTCCTTTGCTCTGCTCCCACTCAGAAAGCTGCTGTTGCTGGGCTGGTTTGGAGAACAGAAAGCAAAAATGCATCAAACCGGTTTTAAGTCTGGAAGACAGATGTCTTAAGATCCAGAGATGATGATGACTGCTTTTGTCAATTAGTCAGTGAACTCTGGGTGACTTAGTTGCTCTGAGCCCTGGAACTGCTGCCTTTCTCCATGGTCCACTGAGGATGGCCAGGCCGGGTGGACTCCTGACTGTGGCTGCAGTCCTGACTGTGCTCTCCTGTCCTCCCCCAACAGCTGATCGACGTGTTCTTCTTCCTGTTCCTCTTTGCGGTGTGGATGGTGGCCTTTGGTGTGGCCAGGCAAGGGATCCTCAGGCAGAATGAGCAGCGCTGGAGGTGGATATTCCGCTCGGTCATCTACGAGCCCTACCTGGCCATGTTTGGCCAGGTGCCGAGTGATGTGGATGGTAAGCCTGACCTGGCTCAGGTGGAAACAGTTGGGAGGAGGCAGTTGCTCCCTGGACCAACCTCCAGGGCTGCCCCAGAGGCCACACTTCAGAAGCATGCACGTGAAACTGAGCCCAATGCCACAGAGTAAAAACTAACTCCTGGAAACCTCTTCATTGCCCTTAGGCAAGATTTTACATCAGCCTTGCAGATGGTGCCCAAGATTTCAATTTTTAAACCTTTTTAAAAAGAGTGATTCTGATATTTTCAATAGCAATGTGGCAATTGAAGGCAACAAGACTTACTAGTTTGAAATGAGAATTTTGGGTTGTACTCACTGATATAACAGAGTGACTGAGTTCCCATTTCTTTCCAAAAGAGCAACATTGGAAAATCCACATTGGAACCTGGAATTTAGACTTCCAGCACTAGTTAGCCTACTGCCAACTGGTTTTTGGAGGCAGGCTGATAGTGGCACAGATGGCTTTAATTTGCCCACACCCAATTTGCATAAGGAAAGTGAGGGGCTATGTTAACTGTGTGCATTTCAGGTGGACCAGCTGAAGCATCTTCAGCTTCTCACAATAGTCTTGGCTCGTCATTTCCTAACCCTCCGTGATAAAACCATCCTCATGGTTTCCTTGAGCCAGAGCCTGCTCCTGCTGGTCACATTTCTCTGTTCCTGTTGTTTTCTCTGTTATCTTCCTGGCCTCATAAGTCTCTCTGGCCCCATCTGCTGAAGTGCTTTCCAAGACCTTAGAAACAGCTATTTTCCCCTGCAGCAGTGGAAAGGCACCTTGGCATTATCATGCCCAGTCTACACACTGTGCCTGCCGCTTTACAGAAGCAGATGCATTTCATCTTCATGACAGCCCTCCATGTCCATGGTTTTAGTCTCACAGGGATCTAAAGAGGAATTGGCAGGCGGGGTTTAGAGCCAGGGTAGCCACTCAGGTGCTGTGTGCCCCCAAGGAAGCGACTCCACCTTGCTGTCTCTGTTTCATGGGCAAACCCAGGAAAACATCATCTTCTCTACAGGATCTCTCACTGGCTGGCGTGACCCCACATGTGCTCGGATGAGGATCTCTGGCACAGAGCAGCTCTCTGAGGCCAGACGTTTGTACCCACTGCCCCCTCCTCTGAGATTTCTCAGACGCACCTTGGCACATTGTAATAAAAGAGTCTTGATGCCCCTTCCAGACCCAGACTCCCCCCAGTGTCCCTGTGTGAGGGTTGCCATCATCCACACAGTTGTGTGAACACAGCTGTCAGAAGCCTCAATGTCATCTTTAACACCTTGGATTTCATTCCCTCCTGTTCAATTCATCCACTAGTTTTGTTGATTTTTATCTCCTAACATTTTTTCGAAATCTGTTCTTTTTCAATCACCACTGCCACCCCCAAAGCCATCCTCAGTGCTCGCCTGCCTGAATCTTAGGCATGACCTTCTTACCTTCCTTCCTCTTGGGCCCCTTCTGATCTGTGCTGCAGATTCTTTGGTAAAGGGAATCTGATGTGTCATTCCTCTGCTTAAAACAGCCTCATGGCCTCCTATCACTTCAGTGTAAAGATTTTAAAAGTAGGCTGAGCATGGCAGCTCATGCTTTTAATCCCAGCACTTTGGGAGGTTGAGGCAGGCAGATCACCTGAGATCAGGAGTTCGAGACGAGCCTCACCAACATGGTGAAACTCTGTCTCTACTAAAAATACAAAAATTAGCCGGGCATGGTGACATGTGACTATAGTCTCAGCTACTCAGGAGACTGAGGCAGGAGAATTGCTTGAACCTAGGAGGCAGAAGTTTCAGTGAGCTGAGATCACGCTACTGCACTCCAGCCTGGGTGTCAGAGCAAGACTCTGTTAGAAAAATTAACAGTCTGTTCAGTGCACATCTTATTCTCTCATTTCCACTGATGTTAATAACCCATCCCATCCCTACCACAGGGCCTTTGCACATTGTGTTGCCTCTCTGGGGTGCTCTAGGCTCCCACCCTCCCCATTAGTTCATGCTCCTGGCTGCTGCTCATCCTCTGCTCTCAGCTCTGAGATCCTTCCTTCTTGGGAAGCTGCTCCTGGATGAGCTGCCTCAGTTTATGCCCCTCAGAGCTCTAGGCATGTCCTTCTCCACTTTTCACGGCCTGAGACTTTAAACGTGTGGTTGATTATTTGCCTATCCAAAGAGGCTGGAAGCTTCTTGAGGGCAAGGAATGTGTTCACTTGTCCTTTCCTTTTATCTTGGTCTGAACCAAGCCCCTTGTTTGTAGTAGCTGCTCAGTAAATATGCATTGAGTGGATGAACAGGTGATTCTAAGGACTATGGCTTGTTTGGATAAAATGCCTTACAACAAGGCCTAAGTCATTTCATGGCCATGATGTTCCTGTGGCCCTGGGGATGCCATTGCTCTCACCCCTCTAGGGGGTCCTCGCTTTGCCTCTTGATTTCTTTCTACATCTTCAGGTACCACGTATGACTTTGCCCACTGCACCTTCACTGGGAATGAGTCCAAGCCGCTGTGCGTGGAGCTGGATGAGCACAACCTGCCCCGGTTCCCCGAGTGGATCACCATCCCCCTGGTGTGCATCTACATGCTGTCCACCAACATCCTGCTGGTCAACCTGCTGGTCGCCATGTTTGGGTATGTGCTCAGTCGTGTGTTTACTCATGTCCACCCTGGGCCAGGCCCCGTGCCAGGTTGGGGGTGCTGTGAGCATAGCAGCAATGGTCCTATCCTTGAGGAACACACTTCAGAGGTCTTTTGGGGATCAGTAGACTAGAGGGGGTGGGACTTGTTTTTCTTTTTCTTTTTTTTGCAACAGAGTCTCGCTCTTTTGGCCAGGCTAGAGTGCAGTGGCACAATCTCGGCTCACTGCAACCTCCGCCTCTTGGGTTCAAGTGATTCTCCTGCCTCAGCCTCCTGAGTAGCTGGGACTACAGGCACACGCCACTCCAACCAGCTAATTTTTGTAGTTTTAGTAGAGATGGGGTTTCACCGTGTTGGCCAGGATGGTTTCAATCCCTTGACCTTGTGATCTGCTTGTCTCGGCCTCCCAAAATGCTGGGATTACAGGTGTGAGCACCGCATCCCACCTGGGGTGGGACCTTTTTAAAGGGATCATATTAAAAATACAGGGTGTGCCTATAAGCTGTGCATTGAGTTTTCAACCCTGAAGACAAGCATCTGTGACAATCGCCATCAAATCCAGGCTGCATATTTGGCATCCATTTAGCAAGCTCTTTGGAGTTCCATGACATTGGTGACAATATCACCCATTGGTGACAGAAACATAGTTCAGCTCATCTCCAAGGTGCCTTATGTGTTATGGGACTCAGTGGTATGGATTCTGGGATTTACAGGACTTTAGTTAGTTACAGTTTTAAAATTTTCAGTTTAAATTAAAATACAAAGAGCAGAGACTGGAGAGTGACTCTCCTTTAGGGCTCGTGCCTGATGAGGTTGGAGGAAATAATATGATGACTTTAAAATATGTTTATTGGCTTTGGTAATTCTCCCTTATGTATTTAGAAAATGAAGTTTTTCATTTCCTCTCCATGTTTCTTAGGAGGGTTTCAAAGAGCCCCAGTGGCAGTTTCGGTCAGAGAGCCTTAGTTTTATATTACCCCTTTAAGGTATATCAGCATTTTGAGTACACGAATCCCATCACAGTCAGAAAGACAATTAACCACCAAATATGCACATTTAAGAGATTATTTGTTAAATCTTGGGGTGGAAGGAAACTCTTTATTTAAAACCAGAAACCTGGAAGCACCGAATGAGAAGATAAACATATTTGATTATATAAAACAATTTTTAAGGTAAGATATACCTCTAATGAAGTCAAATAATAAATCACAAATCAGGAGAAATGTTTGCAATTTTGCATATAATGAACAAAGGCTTTTATTTCCTGACATAGAAAGAGCTCCTGCAAGTTTATAAGAAAAAGAACCACATAGAAACCTTGTCAGAGAACATGAACAAGCGATTTGGAGAAAGGAACATCAAATGGCCAATAATCACATAAAAAGGGCTCTCAATCTTGTAGACAGGAAAGTTCAGATTGAAACAATGAAGTGCTGTTTTGAGCCCAGCAGATGAGCAAAAGTTAAAGGGAGTCTCTGGTGTTGAGATGATGCTGGAAAATGGGCATAGCTACTGGAAGCCTGAATTGCCTCCCATTTTTAGGAAAGTAATTTGAAAATAGTCATGCAAACCTTTGTCGGAACTCTCTCACATCTGGCAATCTACCCTCAAGATGTGTGTATGAAGATGTTTATTGGATCACTGTTTCATGTCTATCACAAGGGAATGGTCAAAAAAGTGTGGTATATCCATAGTATGGAATATTATGCAGCTCCTAAAAAGACAAAGTATGATCTATATGTATTGAATTGAAAGGCTGATATTTGTTAAATATAAAAAGCAAATTGCATGGCCAGGTACGGTGGCTCACACCTGTAATTCCAGCACTTTGGAAGGCCAAAGTGGGTGGATCACCTGAGGTTAGGAGTTTGAGACCAGCCAGCCAACATGGTGAAAGCCTGTGTCTACTAAAAAGAAAAAAAAAAATTAGCCAGGCATGGTGGTGCATACCTGTAATCCCAGCTATTCAGGAGGCTGAGGCAGGAGAATTCAGGAGGCAGAGGTTGTAGTGAACCAAGATTGCATCACTGCACTCTAGCCTGGGAGACAGAGCAAGACTCTGTCTCAAAAAAAAAAAAAAGGAAACTGCACATAATTTTTATGGTATAATATTGTTTTCTAACAATAGAAACAAGAACTTAAAAAAATCAAGTATATATTTCAATGGTTACAATGATCACATATTATATTAATAATTTAGAAAAGAATATAAGGAAAGACAATTGTCAGCTAGAGCCCTGAGATTCCGAGATGCCCAAGGTCTACAGATGGGGGTCACCTGCCTTATTTGGTCAGTGGTCTCCCTTTGGGCAGGGCTGTGTGGAAGCACATACCTCAGGGGAATCTCACATGTCAAAGGGACTGAGCAGTGTGTGGCCATCTGGTCTTCCAGTGTCCAGAGACATCCTTCTCCAGTCCACTCCAGTCTTCTCTACACTGTGACCAAAAGTGATGTTTCTAAAACATTACTGACATGGTTTAGTTGTGTCCCCACCCAAATCTCATCTTGAATTGTAGCTCCCATAATTCCCTGTGTTGTGGGAGGGACCTAGTGGGAGATAAATGAATCATGGGGGCAGTTTCCCCTATTTTGTTCTCATGGTAGTGAGTAAGTCTTATGAGATCTGATGGTTTTGGAAACCCCTTTTGCTTGGCCCTCATTCTCTTTGTCTGCTGCCATCCACGTAAGAGGTGATTTGCTCCTCCTTGCCTTCTGTCATGATTGTGAAGCCTCCTCAGTCATGTGGAACTGTGGGTCCATTAAAACCTCTTTCTTTTGTAAATTGCCCAGTTTTTGGGTATGTTTTTATTATCAGCATGAAAACGGACTAATACAGTCATTGTTCTGCTTAAAATTCTGGAAGGATTTCAGTATTTCCACACAGCATTCCAGATAAGTTTCAGGCTTCTCAGCTTCCCACCATCTTCATCCCCTGCTCTCTGTCCCCTGGCAGGACTTCCATATGTTCGTCCTTAAACAGGGTGATGCGTCATGCCTGATGCTTTGCATGTACTTGCCCTCTGTCTGGATTGCCTATTCCATCCCAGACTTCTCCTTCTGCCCAGTTCCTGCTTGCTCTTTACAGATCCAAGGATCATCTTTTGCCGAAGTGGTACCTGATGTCCTCCCCAGTTCACGTAGAGACTCGTTGAGCCCACATGACACTCTTTTTATTTTTTGAGACGGAGTTTCGCTCTTGTTACCCAGGCTGGAGTGCAATGGCGCGATCTCGGCTCACCGCAACCTCCACCTCCTGGGTTCAGGCAATTCTCCTGCCTCAGCCTCCTGAATAGCTGGGATTACAGGCATGCACCACCGTGCCCAGCTAATTTTTTGTATTTTTAGTAGAGACGGGGTTTCACCATGTTGACCAGGATGGTCTCGATCTCTTGACCTTGTGATCCACCCGCCTCGGCCTCCCAAAATGCTGGGATTACAGGCGTGAGCCACAGTGCCCAGCTAATTTTTTGTATTTTTAGGAGAGACGGGGTTTCACCATGTTGACCAGGATGGTCTCGATCTCTTGACCTCATGATCCACCCGCCTCGGCCTCCCAAAGTGCTGGGATTACAGGCTTGAGCCACCGTGCCCGGCCAACACTCTTTAACTCGCATAGTGACAACCTTCTCTCCTTCCGGATGGTGAACTCTGGAGGATGAAGATCAGCACCTGGTACTGTGTGGGTTTATTCAAAGAATGAAAAAAATGGGTTCTTACCCATGTTTAGTTCATTGTTTAGTTAGTAGTTGTGAGCTTAGCTTTCTGGTGTATTATATACTGACATGCATCAATGGCGAGTAACAAATCAGTAAGAGAATCATCAGGTAAATATTTAACATCTGCTCTCTGCCCGGTGCCTGGGCCATGAAGATTATGTGGATGCTAGTTCCACGTGGCCCTAAGGAGGGAAGGTGAAACTATCTCCCTCACCACTGGGTTGGTGGCCAGGACTTGGGGATCCAGAAGCCTGTCAGACTCACAGGCAGCCGGCCAATGTCGTGATGTCCAAATGGTATCCAAACATCAGAGGAGGCCAACGTCTGAGCTGCAGAGAGAAGCAGGAGATGAGGGGTGATCAGGTCTCCGCATGAGAGGGAGAAAAAGCACACCAATCCCCAAACCTGAAGCAAAGGCGAGGGGGAAGTGGGAAGGCTTCAGGCCTTACTGTATGGTGATAAGATATCGTAGCTACGCTGGAAGTTCCTGCACGAACTTACCACCAACTGTATTTACAGACGTTAAACAAAAAGACCAACAGCTCCTAAAGCCTTTGAGTTATGTTGACGTAGTAAATCTCAGCGAGGTACATGGTAGAATACTTAGAGCGCTCTTCAGTCGATGCACTGGGAGCTGTCTGAAGGAGCCATTCACGAGAACCGTGGCACTTTTGTAATCCGTTACCTGAATTTTGATCATGAAATGATTGAATTTGGAGCTGAGCAGGATGGGAGCCTCATCTGTCACTTTCAGATGAAGTTCCAACAGCTCAGCGTCTGTGGTTCTGGCCACGTGTTATCTGGCTTAACTCGGGTCTCTTCCCCATGAGGCCAGAGGCACTGCATCACATCCCACTGTTGCCCCATTCGGTGCTAAAGTGTGACAACTTGTGACATTTCTTCCCCTGGGGAGCCTCCTCGATTAGCCCCAGCTTAAACCAGAGGCCCTTTCCTTGTAACTTCAGAACAGCAAGAGACGCTGCGTTGTGATCCTTGGGTTGAATCCTCGGAACACTCTTTTTGGTCATTGTTAAAGTTGTTCAGGGCTTACTCTGCGAGCAGATGGCCCAGCCTTGACCCTTCCGTGGCACCACATCAAAATATTCATTTAAAAGCTTAACCATACACAGTGGCAACCTTATTAACTGCAATGCAAATGCGCTCTTGGGAATTCTGAAGGAGTACTGGAGTGCTCTCTAGATGGTATTCAACAGAGAAAGGAAATGGATGTGAACATCTGCGATTATTCTACATTAAAATTATCGATCACAGGCCCT